GGAAAAGAATAATTTTATTTTGGTCCGTATTATAGATATTTTTTCCCCTGCAGAAGTTCCACCACTTCCGATAAGTACAATTATATTGTTTTTGGGTTCCTTCACTTAATGATGCTAACATTACATCTATTGCCGATTCTGGGATACCTCTTGATTTAAATGCTTCGCCGACAATTTTTCTGCAGCCAGGGTAAGGGTTCTCCAGAGGGGATGTGGCTTCCTGAAAGGAGAAAAAAGTAGTTCTTTTCTTGGAAATAGTAAAATTGTTTCCGATATTGATAGTTTTGAAAGCAGTGGGTACCAAGGTTGTGTTTTCCACATAGGGTAAACAATAATACCTTCTGCTTTATCTGTTATTATTTTGTTTATAACTTTGGACAAAAGGGAAAATGGAGGAAAGGCATAAAAGAAGTGTTCGCTCCAATTGATTGTAAAAGCATCGACCGCGTAAGATTCGGGGTCAGGGTGCCATGAGACAAATTTTACAAATTTTTTGTTAGAATAAGAAGCGAATAAGTCAATATTTGGTTGTCCTAATCTTTTTATTATTTCTGAAAATTCACGATTGTTTAATGTGTATTCGGTTTCCACTTTATTTGATCTAGACTGATTTTCAGCGACTGTGTTGTATTTTGTGTTGATATAGGAAGCAAATAACCTTATGTTTTTCGTTTCGCACCATTGCCAAATTTGACGTGCAATATTGTTTAACTTTGGATGGCGAACCCCTCCCATCTTGTTAATGTAGGCAATTGCTGTAACATTATCAACCCTAAGTAACACATCATCATCCCAACAATTCTTCGAAAAACTTTTTAGACCATTCAAAGCAGCTTTTAATTCAAGGTAATTGATATGGTGTTTAACCTCAACTGAGTCCCAAAAACCTCTGGCTACTTGCGTATCGCAAGCGGCTCCCCAGCCTGTCTCAGAAGCATCTGTGTAAATAATTTTTGAGAAATTTTGACTTTTAATTTTTTGGTTTGCTGATTCTAAGTGGTCTAACCACCACTGAAAATCCGGTTGTAAGCTATTTTGCAATACCATTTGAGCATCATAGTTCCCATTATTCCTCTTTAAATTTTTGTATTTTTCTCTTTCAAATAATTTTATGTAAAGCCAGCCGTAAGAAATTGCTGGACAGATAGAGACAAGGGTACCTATGAATTTAGCAAAAGACCTAATTTTTACATAGTTTTTTGTTTTATATTTTTTCGTTAAAGCTAGAATTTTTTGTATTTTTTCTTTTGGTATAGACATAATCAAATTATTGCTGTGAAAAATGAATCCTAGAAATTTAATTTGTTGTTTTGGAACTTTAGTACTTTTTTCTTTATTTATAATGAAACCAAGAGATTCGAGCAAGTTAGTTGTAAATTTTAAATTATCTTCACAATCTTTTTTAGTATCCCCAAAAAGCAAGATGTCATCCAAATAAATTACAGATAAAAAACCTTTTTCCCTTAGATGATTTAATACGGGTTTTAAAATTTTTGTAAAAATGTATGGCGCCACAGATAGGCCAAAAGGTAAGCAAGTAAATTCTAATAGCAAGTTTTCAACTTGAAATCTTAAATATTTTCTAGATTCTTTTGCAATAGGGATCAAGAAATAGGCATCTTTAAGATCTAGTGTGGCCATAAAACAATTTTTTGTTATTAAATTTTTGACTGTTCTATAGTCCTCCAGTTTAAAGTGAGGGCATTCAAAAAATGTATTTAGTCTTTTAAGATTAAGAATAAATCTATTATTTCCATTTGGTTTTTTCCTAATAAAATAAAGAGATAAAAATTCATTTTTACAATGGTTTACTTTAGTTACAGCACCTTTTTTCAGTAATTCATAAATGCATGACCATATTTCAGGTGATGCAGTTTGTGGTTTCAAGTTTCTTTGTCTTGGTTTTTTGTTAAACTGTATTTTGAAACCTTGCACCCAGCTTAAAAGTTGTTCATCTTTAGTTATTGCTGTCCAGTTGTCGTAAAAATATTTTATTCTACCTGCATAACTTACATCTAGTATTTTCTCTTCTTGTATTGAGCTCCTTCCCTCGATCTCGATGTTTGGCTCCAATTCTGATATTTCCTGCGGTTGCTGTGCTCCGTCGGTCTCCTCCTCTCTGCTTTCTTTGTCACTATTTTTTGTCTCGTTTTGTAGTTTGGGCGCGCAGAGTTTAAAGACTGGGATGTACTTGCCTTCATTATTTCTTTGGCCGATTCTGCCATGGCTTTTGCAGACATGCATCTGGTGAAGAAATCGGTGCCGAATAAGTTTTCATCGATTGGTTGGTCGGGTATTAGTTTTTGTACCTTGGAGTTAAGATGTTGTGCTAGTACGTGTCTTCTGTGCGTTGAGATTGTATGAAACATATCCGTTAAAAGTTGGCCGCTAGTAACAAGTGCGGTGGTCAACGATTGGTCGTACTTATCTTTATCTGCGAGCACTGTCGAAATTGATTGGCCTAGGGCTGTTAACCCCTTTCCCATTATACTCTGCAAATTCTTCAAATATTGGTCCCTTTTTATGTCTGATGGTGGTATGGCCGATTCAATTTCTTTGTTGAGTATTGGAGCGTTTAGGAGTGGACAATTTTTTGGGGTATTCCACTCTGCTAAGAGTTTTTGTCTACTCTCTTTGGAGAGACCTTTGGTTAAATAGGTATTCCACCTCGCTATTAAATCATCGGACAAATCTTGTCCATACTTCTGCAAAGGTTCTGGGTTTTCTCCCAAAATTGCATCTACATCTTTGGCTGCGATAGGTGTTTCTCCTATGGAGGAGGTAGAAGAAGTGGACCCGGAGACGGAATCTTCACTTTCCGAGTCACTACTACCTGTTGACAAAATAATTTTTTGTTAACCCTCTAAGAAAGGGATGTGTTTATATATATATATATATATATATATATATATTTTTTTTTTTTTTTTTTTTTTTTATTTTAGGGTATTACTCTCTAAATAAAAATAAATATCCTTGGGAGCACCACTCTGTAGTTTTTATTTTGCTTTATTTTATTTTACGGTTTTACCCAGTAAAATATGTGCCCGTGTTTTTGAATTACCCTATATAACAAGTACCTACCTAAAATAACTATGGTTTTACCCATTGTTATATTTATTTTTATGTATACATATTTTTACGGTGTTACCCAGTAAAAACTATACGCTAAGAAAATATCGGTCTTTTATATCGTCCTGTATATTAAATTCACAGAATATTTAAATGGTTTTATCCATTGTTTATTCGTTTCATTAGGAAGGTATGTTTTTACGGTGTTACCCAGTAAAAAACAAGTACCATAAAACATTCCTCTAGTTTCTTTTATTTTAACTGCAATGTAGATATCAAATTTATTTTATTATGTACTTACTTGATACATCTCTCAACATTTCTTCCAATTTCCTCATTTTCTTCTTAATTTTTCGTAAACGATCCGCTTTTCGTTTTGGCATTTTCACTGTTAAAGTTCACCGTTCGAGCGTAAGAACTAGAATGACTAATATATACCGGTAAAAATGAGGCCTGGGCGAAATTTCTTATCACTGTAAACACTACGCCGATAGATCGTATCAGAACGAAACTATACCAATGTGATCTTTTCGAAGGACGGCCTATTGAAGTATAATGAAAGTTTTACTGATAATATTTTGAAATGCACAATAAAGCACTATGTGATGTTTATCAGTTTTTTGGGGGCATCGTTCTAAGCTTTTTTACATTTTGTTTATTTTTCAATTTGTTTTTAATATACAATAATAATCCCACTATAATACGAGTGTTTTGACCACAAAAGCCGGACTGAGCTTGTTCGGGAAAGCAACGGATATTTTTATTTATCGAGGCTCTCCAGGACGACTTAAATGATTGATGGTGCCATTTGACTTATAGGTAGGGTTACCAGACGTCCCGCTTTAGGCGTAATTTCCCCGATTTTTAACTTATTGCCACGCGTTAGGCCAAAATGCCACACCTGTTACCTAAATGCCACACTTTTTAGTCAAACGCCAAAACTTATAAAAGATCTCCCCAGGAAATGTTTAATATCGTGTGAAGATGTAAAACAAAAAGACGGGATTTCTGTTATTTTAAAACGCTTGTAATCGTTTCCATATTTTTTTAAAATATTGACTGGCACCAAAAGATGGAACTGTGTTTTCGAAACATATGTAGTGCCTGTACTTAAATTTTATAAAAACAATAAAAACGACCGAATAAACCATTGAACTTTTTATTTATATAAAATTCTATTACGGTTAGGAAATTATCATTTAAAAACATTACTTTTATTCATTTTGTTTACTATGTACATTAAGTTGAATTATTTATTAACTGCGCCTGTAAGTCGTATGTTTTTGTCTGTTTTCAATAGTAGGTAAAAATGTATAGATTGATTGACTTACCTATAAGGAGAATCAATCCAAATTTGTTGAGCTTATCCTTCGGTATAATTCTCACTTTGTAGTATCTCGGTACATTTTAAAAATTATGCAAACCAAACTATCCCCTTACCCTGACTCATACATTCATTCCGTTTTTTAATCGATTAAAAATAGAACGCTGAAGTTATATATTATGAACATAATAGACTCTTTTATTATATAAATAAATTATCTTTGCATAATAATCATTTTTACTTTATAAATAGGATTAAAACCTTATTATTGTTGTTATTTGAGGTAGCTTTAGTGTAGGCTTTAGTCCAAAGTTGTCTTAGATATCCATTTGAGTGTATTTTCACTTAATAAAATTTAAAAAAAATAAATGTTCCGTTTTGGAATTTATAACTCGCTAAACGAACACAAAAATTCGACGATGTTATCACGAGAGGTACAAAAAATGAAATGAATGTATGAATCAGGGTAAGGGACTAACGCGATACTACAAAGTGAGAATTATACCAGAGGATAAGCGAAAACAAATAGATAAACTTCAAAATATTCGAAATACTATAAACAACAGTTAATGATTAATAAGTGCTTTGAAATTTGGTGTTCTTATAGGTACAGGATTTTGCCGCGTTATCTTCGTAATGTTGAAGAAAGAACTATGAGTAGAACCATCTTAGGCAAGGAGGTAGCATTTCCTATTGGATTAGCACCAACAGCTTGTCAAAAGCTTGCTAACAGAGATGGAGAATGTGCTGCGGCAAGAGGTGAATTTTATTAAAATATCATCATTCATAAACAGTATAACATATTAAAATTCAAGAGAAAAACTTTCTCAAATAAGCTATAACAATTTAAATATTTTAAGGTGGTAGAATTTTATCTTAATCATTTGATACGCCCATAAATTCACTTGAATTTCGTAAATCTACAATAAATGACAGTATGATCACCTTTAAAATCGGTAGATCAATTTTTTTTTAATTTATATGAAATTATATTTAGTATAAATGTATTCTAGCCGCTCAAGATTTAAATACCATTTACACACTAAGTTCACACTCTTCTTCAACCATCGAAGAAGTAGCAGAAGCTGCTCCTAAAGGAAGAAAATGGCTACAATTCTACATCTTTAAATTAAGGTAGGGATCTAAATTATATTTTAGAGGACTTGGATCATTTTTAATTTCAAATTTTTATTTGTAGACAAATATCTCTGGATATAATTGCTCTTGCCGAAAAATTAGGATTCGAAGCGATAGTTTTGACTATAGATTTTGCAGTAGTGGGTTCTCGAGATACTTTTAAGAAATATGACAATCCTTTACCTGCTCATTTATCGTAAGAAATTTTTATTTTACTAAAAATGTCCAATACTCTGATCTTCCAGCCATAGGAGAGAAGCTTTAACAAGCTCAATATATCTAAGGATTACTGTTGAAACTAAGAGTACTGAAGTAGTACTTCCCGCATTAATTTTATGGAAAATAAACTAATGTATAATAATTAGTAAGATAGGATGAGTTTCAATTAAAATATTTTCATTATTTTTAGGCTGGCTATTCTCAAAAAGTATTTAGATTCAGGTGTACTTCGTCGAGGAGAATTGTCGGACGCAACAGCAGATTGGAGTTACATTAAATGGTTGAAAAGCGTTACTAAACTTCCCATAATTGCTAAAGGAGTTTTAACCCCCGAAGATGCCATTCTAGCCGTAGAAGCTGGAGTATCAGCTGTAATAGTATCCAATCACGGTGCCAGACAACTTGATGGAGTTCCTTCAACGGTAACATGTTTATTTATGAATCATATACCTCGAGGAAACGTTTGATATCATCTTTATTGTAATAAATATTAAAAAAATTTATTGACAAAATTTCTATGGTCACATTTTAAAATTACATAGAGATATACGTACAGGGGCCCAATTCCTGAAACTATGCGTTGAACGCCGCATTCGACTAGCGACGCATGGTCGCCACCGCATGCGACGCAAAATCTGTATTCTTGACTACCCTTCGTTAGGATAGTTTTGTGTCGCATGATGTAACGAAGAGTCTTTAATTATTGCAGTAGTTCAATCGTTTTAAACCAATAAAATTTCAGAACGTCATAACAAAACTGCATTATCGACTGAAAAATGTCAAAAAAAAATTCTTTTGCGAGTGTCATTGTGTAATCTCTTTTATTATTAAACTAAATTCTTTGAAAAATTTGAGTAGTGTTTTGATAATGGAGATTGAAAATGAAAAGAAAAGCTTCAAAATTAGCGAGCAACAGAGAACAGCTTTAATAAATTTTATGAAAGATCACCCGAATTTAGTTAGTGGCAAATTTACAAATCATTTCACTGCTACAACAGCTAAAAATTTATGGAAAGAATGTGAAACCACACTAAATAGCATAATAGGGGGGAAAAAAGATTGGAAGCAGTGGAGGAAAGTAAGTATTTTTATATTTTTATCTATAATTTAACGATATATTGATTTTATTAACATTGTAGTGCTGGCATGATATCAAATCAAAAACAAAGTCTAAACATGCCAGATTAAGAACTCACCAAGGTGGAACTGGTGGCGGTCCCGCTACACCAGAAATATTATCTAATTGGGAAGAGAATATAATAGATATAATGTGCCCAACTGCTAGTACAGGGCACCCAGGAACTTTAGAGTCATCCATTGTTTTTGTAAGTATTTTATACAAATCACTAGTAAGAAGGTGATTAAGAGGATTATTATTTTTAATATTATTTATTATTGTTGTTAAGATAGAAAATACATGTTTCTTAAATTGTGATTTTTTATTTTCATGTAGGATCTTCCTCTTTTACAACATAATACTCCTGAGATATTAGAAAACAGTAATGCTCAAATGCAGGAAGTTTCTCAATATGAACTAGAAATTGAAACGAATATAACTAATCCTGAACAGATAGAGAATAGAACACTAAACAATATAAAAGGTAATATTGTAGAAAATACACTCTTAAGCTATTATTTATTTCAACAGTAATATTTAGCAATTAAAAGGCAACTAAAATTCGTCAATTTTAGTATCTTCTTGATTTAGATTAGTTTATAAATTTGTATAATTTTTTTTAGAAAAAAAAGTTACTCGGAAACAGCAACTTTCTCAATCAGTGGAAGCCACGAAAAATTTAACAGTCACGTCCAAAGAAAGAAACGAAATATTTAAAGAGTATTCACAAGAAAAATTAAATATTTTAAAGGAGACCAATAATTTTAGAAGAAGGAAATTGGAGGCTTTAGAAGAGCAAACTTCTTTAAAGAAAAAAAAACTGGAGGCAACAAAAGAGCAGAACAAAATACTGCAAAATATAGCAACTTTGCTAAAAAATATTCTCGAAAAATAATAATGCATATATTAATAGTTGTGTGTTAAATTTTTGTTTATTTTTTAGTTTTAAAATTATTTTGTTTTTTATTTATTAGGTTTAATTTAGTTATATTGTTGTTAGTTGTTCCTGTAATTACATTAAAAGCAAAATACAATACATAGTAATATTAATTTATTTAAACAAAGTAGTTTTCAATTATTTTAATTATTCATACGCCTTCCAATTTTAATCTCTAAAATGTCCATTTATCACCAATGTTTGTTTCCTTCTTCCTGCTTCCAGATCTGGATTAATTCTTCTTTGGTTTCTAATACGTTGTCCTGGCTGTTCGTCAATAAAATTGTCGATACCAAAATCCACATTTTCCAGTTCCTCATCTAAATCTGGTTCTGGAATATTATGATTTATACACATATTGTGTAACACCACACATGCATTTATTATAAGTGATGCTTTGTCCGGGGTATAGTGCAATACCCTGTGCTTCAGTAAACATCTAAATCTCATTTTGAGTACACCATTACATCTTTCAATGATGCTTCTCGTTGATTTGTGGCAAGCATTATACCTGTATTCATTTGTGTTGTGAGGAGGTTCAACCTCTGTAGGGGTTAGAAGCCAAGCCCTGAGGTAATATCCTGAATCTCCTAAAAATAAATATAAAATTAATTAGATTATGAAGACATATCTAGAATTACCTAGAATTTTGAATTCTTCCTCATTCATGACGAAAACGAAAGACGAAAGAATGGAAGATGGCTGAAGAACATTCATGTCAAATATCACTTTGACCTACAGTGATTAAGAACTTAAATCTAAAAAGACTATTCAGTAGCTAATTATTATTATCATCCTGATTTACTGATCCAAATCTTTTTGATTGTAGTATAGAAATAGTAATCGGCTAAAAATGTTTCTAAAGTAGGCCATGACCGACAAAGACAGAGATACGAGTCATGACCGTGATAACTACGCATGGTTCTGAATTAAGACCAAGCGTGAATTTCTCCAAGATCTACTTTAGAAACATGTTCTGTGGTTCACTCCATACTGTACCTAATAAATGGTAACCATTATACCCCATTTGATGTAACCTTTCCATAGCTACCTTAATGTTGGAATTACTTAAAATATGATTATCATGTGTGCTTCCTGGATATCTTGAGTTGACGCTCAAAATTCTCAATTTGGAATCACATACCTAAAATTAACATTGTAATGCATTTGAAGACGATTTTTTAAAATAAGTAAATTACCAATTGAACATTAATTGAATGATAACGTTTTCTGTTAATATACATGTGTTCAGGATAAACGGGATCATTTGTTTTTGGTGGAACTATTGCCACATGTGTGCAGTCTATGGCTCCAATAATACCAGGAAACCCATACATATTGAAAAAACTAGAATATAAAAATCAAGTCAAATCTGAAAATTTAAAATACGACAATTTTAACTTACCCATTACGAAGGTTTACCAAGTTCTCCTCATTTACTGAAAATTTAACCCAATGGTTAAAAATTTCTGGCCTATTTAGGATATTTGCTACTTCCTCTACAGCCCTGCTAACCGAAGATTGGCTAATGGATAAAAAAATATTTGAGCCAACATCTAATTGATAGCTTCCCGAGGCAAAGAGTTTTAGTGAGCAAAGAACCTAAAAAATACTTTTAATTTTTAAGTATAAATGTTGACTATATTCAATACAATAAACAAGAATACAAATTAACTTAATACTTAAACCACCAAATTACATTTGGATTGGTATATTTCTGTTTCCAGTTTATTGCTATTAATAGATAAAATTATAGGAAAATAAAAATGAAAATAGTTTAATTACTAACCTTTAGTTGTGGACTCAGAGCTGAATTTCTTCGTGGTTGCACCATGTAAGGAGTCACTAATATAATTATATTTTCAACTAACTCCTTAGTTAGTCGAAATATTCTTCTAAACTGCCTATCTGGTAAAAGAAATGGATCCTGTCGCCTGTTGTAATTGAGAGGTGGCAGTTCTGCATCTAATTGTGCCTCTTCAATATTATGTATTCCCTGAATAAGGGCAATTTCCTCTATATCGTCCATTTTATAAGAAGTTTCCAATAGTAAATACAATAACTAAATAAAATTAACACTAACGACTTATAAACAGCAAAACCGTAAAATAATTATGTAATAATAATAATCATTAATAATAATAACAATAATGATAAGATAATTATAAAAAACGAATTAAAATATAAACTAGGAAAATATAAACAATGATCTCTTATATTACTAAGTGACAGTGACAAGTAATATGCATGGATACCCATGGTTACCGCATGCGAGATAGGGTTATCGCATGGTCAAGACCGCTCGTTGCAAATTGTTCGCCAAGCACCGCATGCGGGGATAACTCGCATACGCCTAGGCTTTCAAGAATACCATTTATCTACTCGCATACGTCACCGCATGCGAGACAAATACGAACGCCGTCAGGAATTAGGCCCCAGGATGTTGCACGACTCAGTTACGAACCAAATATGTTTTTTTAAGCCATAATGCCAGTTTATTTTCTTTAGATATAGATTAGGTACTGTCAATTTTTCTAATTTGTCTAGATTATATAGAGTATTGTAAAGGTAAATGACACTTTCATATGAATATCGTAAATAAATCAACTTCATGTAGCCAAATACATGCTTTGGAAAATAAATTTCTTGCCTATACGAGTTTTTTATCATAATTTTCTTTATTAACGTTTTTATTTTATTGTTCAACATTACAATATTTTTACTTATTTTAGATTGAGGCATTACCAGAAATAATTAACGCGATTGGAGATAAAGTAGAAGTGTATATTGATGGAGGAATTAGAAATGGCACCGATGTTTATAAAGCTTTAGCTCTCGGAGCTAGAATGGTGTTTGTAGGTAGACCGATATTTTGGGGCCTTTGTCATAAAGGTGAAGAAGGGGTTAAAAATGTTCTAACGCTACTTAAAAACGAGCTTGACAAAGCACTTGCACTTTCAGGTAAATAAAGCTACGACCATAATTTAGTATACTTTAATGTAATTTATTCTGTTTTAGGGTGTCCCAATGTAGATGATATCAGCAAAAATAATATTGTTCATGAATCACATTATTCCAAAATTTAAAATTGAGTTCAATATTCATACAATAAACATTTATAAGAGTTTTTTAATTTTATCTATATTTTTTGGTTTTTGTGCAACTAGGTACAAGTTAATAAAACATTTTGTTATTCATTTAGAATGTTTTTTTCTGATATGTCGAGGTAAATAGAGATGTAACACTACAACTAATGGAGGCCATACACGCTCCATTATGGCCTGCAGGCCAAAACGCACAGTTCTGATCTAAAGTCAAAATTTAATCAGCTCATTCCACTCTTCATCTTCACATTAGACAAAAGAGGATAGAGGAGAGGCCAGATGTATGTCAGATCAAGCACTTCACGTTGAGTTATGGACTGTACAGTTTAAATTTCACAAAAATCGTAGCGTGTAGTGCCTCCTTTAGTAATACAGTGGTTTGTCATCATATACAAGACAAGACGGGGAAAGAGGTAAGGTAACACGCAATAACACATTGTTTCGGCGGCGGGGGGGGGGGGGGGGATCTGCATAATACTGTGCTCTTGATGGAATTCACCATTTTAGTTTAACAAAATGCTTTTAGTGTTTTCGCCAAAATAACCTTCACGTTGTCGCTCAAGAGAAGACTTTAAATCTTCTAATTTGCTCTATAAAATGTTCGCGAATGGATATTTTGATTTTTCCAAGTTGTCAATTATTTTCATTATTTTTGGACAGAACTCGGATACGAATGTCAACTGAACTCGTATTTTGCGAGCCAGAGTTTCATTTTAAAAACATTCCGTCAGGTAACTGGTACTCATGTTATCATCTTCATAGTTATTCATAAAAAGCAATAATATGCTCCACATATTTGTTCAAATAGATTGCAGATTTGAACCAAGAATTCCAGCAAGTTACAACTGGCGTGGGGTAAAGTTTCGGAGTCAGTTGCGGAGCTTGTTCTTGCAAGTAGTTCAAATAAGCACTTTTCATTTTGTTTGAGTGCAAAAAAGCTGCCTTGGGTCTTATAAACGCAGGCGGTGTGCGTTCACAACGTGCGTGAGGCTCGTAATATTAGAAAATTCATGTGTTTATTGCCTTTAAAAATGTTTTTCTTCGAAATTTAGTCAAAAAAATATTAAATTCACAAACTATTATATTTCGTATTTATCGCATAAATTACGTGAATTTCGCATCTATCGCTTCTATTTCGTAAAAACGAAAATTACGTATCTCTAATGATATAGTTCATAGACGATTACCGCGTACATCACAAACGAGATGGAATTCCCAATCACGAGGAGTTAATACAGTTTATGAATACCGAAATGAACTGATACACGTTATGGATATTTTAGAGAACGACAAAGATATTAAATTCTACGATTCAGCAAGTCGGTGCTTATAAATTTAGATTACAGAATAGAGATTAACCGTTTTTTATAGTCATGCCACATGTCGAAATAATTTTTAAGCAACTGCAGACGAATAATACCGACCTTGTCAATGCTAAACAAGACATAAAATGCATTGCAAAAATTCGTAATGAAATGGATAAAATTATTAACAAAATACCGAAGATGAACTTGTTTCTCAGAAAGGGCGACGTTACCCTGTTCCGATCTATCTGTTTCAACAAATAGAAAAATAGAAGCCTAGGAAGTTTGCGATTCCATTATACAACAGGTTAGGATACGATTTAATTTCACAGCACATTTGATAACTACCGCATTATTCATGAAATAACATTTTATCGAATACCAAAAAAACTATCCTGATCAATTACTCTCTGATATTAATTTCTAGAAAAAAAAAATTGTCTAAAAACAGAACTGCAAGTACTTTGCGACAGAGAAGAGGTGCAAACCATTTCTGGAGCCATTCCTCCGTTATCATTAGTTTCGCAGGAGATATCGTTTAGTGAGAACATCAGTGACGTAACTCAAAAATACACGTTTTTGACTTGTGTACTTCAAAAAATTGCCTAATGTAGCCCGCAACTGGTAAATAACTGGCGAAATTATAGTTCTACTACTGTCCGCTCGGTGGCTGTAGTTGTCAGTAATGCTTGGTATTTTTATTTTCACCTTCGAAGGCAATACTGACGAATATAACATTATTAATATTCATTTACTTTAAAAAAACCTGTTACATTATAACTTAAAGATTAAAAAATCGGTAAGATAGCTCCAAACGTATAGCCAAAAAAAAAAAAAAATTATAATTTTCGTACAAACTTTAACCGCATTTATCTTAGATCAACCTATTCGGAGTTAGGTCACTAATGTTCTCACTAGGCGATATGAAGTACACTTTTCAAGAAACTATTAAATTACTGGAAGTTTTAGTAACAACACCTATGTCAACATCCTAAATCGAAAGATGTTTCTCTATGTTAAAGAGGATAAAAACTTTTACGCAACACAATTAAAGAAGAAAGACTAAGGGCCGATTCCACCGACTTTAATAGACGAGCAGGGTTACCAACCGTCCGTCACTATGACGGACAGACCAGCATTTAAATAGTGTGTCCATTAGTCCGTCAAAGTATAGTTATTGACCGTCCAGGTCGCCCAGATCATATTCGTAAATTTGTTAGGATTGTAATTTACGAATTATCACACGAATTGATTATATTTGTTAAATTTATTATTACTGGGACAGTGCCAAAAGCTCAAACTTGGAACGCACTCTTTGGCGTTCATTCAGGTGGGTGCTCTTCAATGCTCTTTTTCCGTGTCTGTGCGTGTACTCAGTCAATATAGATGTTTTGTCCTGTTTTTTTAGCGTAGTCTTGCTCTGCTGTATGGTGTGCTATGCTATGAACGCAGTGTGTTTGTGTTTATTATTGATTTTTAAAATGGGTGATTTCTAAGATAGTGGCAGCAGTGATAACACATAAAGAGAAAACCCCTACAAAAAAAATCTAAACGACTTTGTTATTTTAATCCTAAGTTTATTAGTTCAGTTCATTTTTTTTTTGTTTTTTTTTTTTTTAGTTCAGTTAATCTTTTATATTTTTCTTTAGTTGTTTATTTTTTATTTGAAATTTGTGGCATAGGTATTCTTTTTTTGTAACTTAAATAAAAACTTTGCGAATATCTAATTATTTGTAAAAACAGCTCAAACTATCTTCATCAAAATTAGGTAGGTACGGATTTCTTAAAAAAATAGGTAATTTTGATTAAAAGCATAAAAATGGACTGAGTTGTTTTAAGTTCCCTTTATTTTCCCTAAAATCCTCTGTCTGTCTATCACATCTGTTTCAAAAACTTGGTAACCCTGTAGACGAGTGATTGACCTTTTCGCTAATAAAACAAAACGAAGACTAGACTACAAATATCGTTCAATATAAAATATTCTTTATATTACTGTATAGTTGCAATAAATTACTATTCAAAGCTAAATTCTGGTAAGTTTTTTATGTTATTTATTATTTTGTAAAAATGATTAATGCGCACGTTAATATACTTTAAAAAATATTACCCAAGATATGCTTTTTAACGAGTCAAAATCTATTCCGAAATCTCTAAAGACGGACCTGTTTTAACTACAAATACCTACAAAAAGAGTACTTGGGTGTGAGCACGAACAACAAAGATAAGACTTCAATAGTTAATTTGCTTTCAATTGATAAGAACTATATAATACAAATTAATTATTAATTAGGTAGTACTAAGTATTTTAAATTTACAGTAGTGTAATGTAAGATGTCTTTGTTGTGTGTTAATGATTTTGAAGAAAATGCTAAACAAAAACTTTCTAAAATAAATTTCGAATTTTATTTAAGTGGAGCCGGACAACAACGTACACTTGAATGGAACAAAACAAGTTATGCTAAGTAAGTTAAATGTTAATAATACAGAAAGAAAATAATTTTTAAAAACACGTTTTTATTATTATAATCAAATCATTGAAAACTTGATAATTTACTTCTCATTACTCATTAGTTATCCATTTTACTAATTTACTTGTTTTTAATGGCTTAGCCAGAAATTTGTCATGGAAGGGGGATGGGGGTTCATAGATCTCAGAAAGCCTAGATACAGCACCGAAAAAAATTTTAACAAGACATATCTACATTTCAGATGGAGAAAATATGTTCATGACATGATCTGAGCAATGTCTTGCATTCTTCTTTTTAAGGACCGATTCCACCGTTGTTTTAAAATTACATTTTTACATTAACAGTGTCATTTTAATATCCGTTTAACGCAACGGTGGAATCGGTCCTTAACCTAATAAAATTACGGTATTTTCAGCCTTTATTTTTTTTTAAAGCATCGGAATTTGTATCTATTAAAATATGTAACTTAAATTGACTCTAATCATACTCCACATTTATTTATAAAATTTTATAAAATCGCATTTATATAGGTAAATTTTTTAAAATTTAAAATAATTATCCACTTTATTAAATTATTTTGACATTTCTTTAATGTACTAACACAATTACATAATAAATTAGTTCTGTCAATTTGCACTACAATTTTCTGTTATACTTCAGACAGCTTTTTGATTTTATATTAATTACCCATTGTAATTCAACTCACGCGGAGATGAGCGTAGAATAGAAATGTTCCTTATTTCGGAGTAATTCGGGGGGCGTCGTGGAAACAATGCTTATTACAATTGGTGTATTACTTTAAGTTGAAATGGAAAAAATGCGCTGTGTGCAACCTATAATAAGTAAAAAGTTCAAATATAACTTGATTCCCGCCTGATTCTTACAAGCTCGAAAAATAGACAACCCTGTAAAATGTATCGCACAGGCGCATGATAGAGATCACCGTCGGACATTCATCGGCTCCTTGTTACATCTCCGATCTCTTTAATTTAAGGTAGTGCCGCATTAAAACTCAGTTAACATGGCGGGCAGCATTCTTGGTTTCACGATCCTGTATCTAGAGTTCCCCTCAAGCAAAATTTCTGGCTACGCCACTGCCTTTCATGACCCATTTTTCTCTTTTATACATGCTTACAAAAATTAATCATTATTTTTTTTTTTAATTTTATTTTAAGGTACCGTATTAGACCAAAATATATGCGTAGAGTTTCAAATAGGTCTACATCAACTACAATTTTAGGAAAAAATGTGGCAGTACCTATTGGAATTTCACCTACAGCTTTTCATAAATTGGCCCACCCAGAGGGAGAATCTGGCTGTGCTCGGGGTAGGTTATAATCATAGGTATATAGGAAGGATACTGTTTAAATATTACCTGGTTCAAACAATAAGTCACATTATGAGATGAGGGAAAATATAGGTTATTCACTGAATTTACATATCGGATTAAGAAACAGATGCACGACTAAGCCGGTCGCCGGTCTACAGGATAATTTCGCATCACGTAGTTGAGTAAAATAAGCGTAGTCCTCCGGTGGGTAGAGGGTGAATATATTTTAATTATTCAATACTTATATAGTATGTAATTATGTTTATTAAAATTAAATTACTAAAGTAATACACGAAAAAATGAAAATATTTATAATTTTGTTTCGGACATTGTTTATGGTAATACAATTTTCCCCGAATACAATAAACGCTTTATGGTCAGGAATTTCCGGAAGTCCCCTTCTCAGGTATAAAATTAAGATTAAATGTTCTATTTTTGTACTGATGTTATATGACTAATTGCGCTAAATTATTTAGTTCAGTTTTGGATTTCGAAGAGAACGTATATCGAAACTGAAAATACCGAAGCGAGTGTTACGACGGAAAAAGATAACCTTTAAAGCCAGTAGTGAGTGTGCATGAACGCGTCGGTACAGCTCTCGGTATTAGTGATTCTAAATTAAAATATGTTTTGAAAAACGTTAAAAGCGGAGAGAGCAAAAAAAAGAAAAAATCACACCTCGCAAAAAACCGAAAACGTCGGATATATCTTTTGGGACACAATTTCGTATTCGTGATATGGTGTATGAAATACGTGCGAAAAAGGAACATGTCAACTTAGACACATTGCTGCCTAACTTAAGAGAAATACAAATTGGTGAATTTGGCAGAACAAGTCTTTGGAAGTTGCTTAAGGAAATATGTTTCAAATTTAAGAAGGAAGATAATAGAAAAGCTTTTAAGCTTTAAAATGTCACAAGAACATTTTGCTTCAAAAAAACGACTGTCCTTTTTAAAAAAGGACAGGTGGCAACCCTAAGTGAAATCCAAAAATATGATTTTAACTGAAAAATAAAGTAGCTCTATATCTATTTATAAATTATTAGATTAATTCACACTTTAAATCAAACTCTGAAAAGATTATTTGCACAATTTTAAAGACTAGGCAAAAATCTCACTTTGTAAATTCTTTTTGCGAAAAAACGTATTTTAAATAGATCCTAAAACAACAGTATGCAAAAAATTTTACCTAGAATACCTATTTTTATTCTTTAACCAAAAGTACCCATATATGTTTGCGTCTCTCTCGTATATAATGAAAAAAAATAATAAATATAGAATAGTACTCCTGTAGCTACATAATTTTTATACCCATTACATTAATTACTCATTAAATATTTAGGTATACCTATTTAAAATTTGCGATTACTACCTAGGTACTTATTTATTTTAATGCATTCATTATCTTACCTTTACACGAAAAATCTACGTCGTTGTAAAACCGAAATAAGAGCTGAAAAAGAAATATATACCTAGCAAATTATTCTAGTCAAAAGTTTCAGTATAAAAGTCGTCAACAAGAAAAATATTTAGCTTTTTTATAAAGATTATAGGGTAGTGCGTAATAGGTATTTTGTTTAGTCAATATGTTTGTTCTTAGGGTTTTTTTGGAAAACAAAACTTTTATTTTAGATATATTTGATCTTAAAAATGTTTGTTTTTAGCTAAATATACTGTTAAAATGTACCTTAGGTGCTGTAGTTAGGTAAGTACCCCTAGACATAACCTTATTCAAACGTAAATTGAGGAATGCACTAAAAATTTTAAAATTGTACATGCTAATACATATCTACACTTTCTCCAAAATAAACTGTGGTTTAAAGTTGATTATTATAGTTTATTCATAGATTGCTTACATCATCTAAAATTGTAGGTATAATATATCTACCTAAGTACCTATATAGAAAGTATCTAGTTGAATTATTTATTGATAAAATGCTTTTACCTTATGTTAAAGTGCATAAATATACTCACCATATATCATTTTCTTTGATCTATTTCACTAACACTCATCATAAATAGTTTCTTGTTAAATATCTTTAAAATTTTAAAACCAACTAAAAAAAATGACGTTTTCACGGAGTCTTCTGATTGGACATAATTTCAAGTGTAAATGCATTTGACACCAGCGCCGCCTAACATAAAAACGGAGTTCGTTTGACGTGGTTCTGGCTACGTTGCCGCAATGAGTGAAATTTACATAACCTGCCGATTTTTGGAAATTCTGATAATTAAGATTATTTATAGGTAGATTATTAAAATGAGGGTGCAGTAATTACTACAAAAATTACAATAGGTCCTCACCTTGATTGAAAAGACATTAAGTGTGCGCGAATTATTAATCACTGGAGAATTCTTGAACAAAAATAATACGAGAATTTAACCTAAAACACCTACTACATAAAATATTTCTCCTAACCAAGATGGAGGATGTTTATTTAAAAATATGAAAATAATTTTTACCCGCTATTACGGTACCTTTCAATATTTTTTGTTTATACTTGACAAAAAGTTTATGCAGGTTAAGAACTTTAAATTATTCTGGTTCTGGCTACGTTGTCGCAATGAGTGAAATTTACATTCCCTGCTGATTTTTGTAAATTCTAATAATAATTAAAGACTATATGTCACGATACTAAATTAAGTACTAGATTTAGCACCAAATTAAGTTATTTAGTATTAAATTTAGAACTAAAAATATATTTTTTCTTCGTTTGCAACGATACCAATTTTTAGTACTAAATTAACTATGGGCGCACGCGCATTGCCGTATTAATTCGTGAAATTAGCACAGAAATGAAATATTCTGTGTAAAATAGACAAGTAGCGAAACGTTTTTATTATGAATTTGACACTAGTTGCCTTGACAACAACCAAATACAGCAATGTTACTAAAATTCATGAAAAAAACTATAAAATCAAACAAGCGAAAATCATCCAAGGCGATAATGCAAAATTGGCGCTAACGAAAAACAAAATGGTACAGAAAAGACCGTTGTGTCAACTTTTTCTGTGAAAAACTTCTGTGCAACATTTTAACACGGTTAGTACTAAATTTAGTAGAAAATAGAACAAGTTCTAATTAATTTAATTTGTTTTTTTAGTACTAAATTTGCTGTTTGCAACGTGGTAGTCACAAAGCATGTATCTTCTAGAGACCCCACGCCAATGTTAAAACTTTTAAACCAAATTAGCGCCACCTTGTGTTTGGAGCTGGAACTAAAATGACAATTGACAGATGGCGGTAAATTCAAATTGTAATTTTTAGGAGTAGGTAGTAGTTTTAAATTAAATTTTAAATGATTTCCACATAAATTATTTTATAAAATAAAGTATGGAACTAGTAAGTTCGAAACTTTTATTTTACAAAATAATTTAGGTCGATTATACCAAATTTGAAGAATTAATTTGTTATAAGGGGTCTAATGTGGAGAGTTGGTTCTGCATATTTTTATTCAATAAATAATAAAATAGAACATTCTTAAAATATGTTTATTAATAAATTAAATAAATATTATTAGATAAAAATAAATACAAATAATAATACATATTTAACGAATACTTACTTGGAGCAAATAGATATATAATCTCAAATCTTTAAAATACCTATCAATAATGTAAATGTGAAGTAGAGACTAGGATATTACATTTTATTAACACTAAAGTTATATATTTTATAAATGTCTTTTTAACTGAGGACAAATGTAATATAGGTATTGTATTAAAAGGTGAATCCTTTTAACTATTCATTCAATGATAAATAGGTATTTTCCTTCCAAATACAGATGGTGATACAGATTTCGGAATCTAGTCCAGTGATAAATTGATTATCAATTAGTTGTTGTCCCCGTTTGTCTTTTTATGATGCAGATGCATGGTGAATATATAAATTGGTGAATCAATGAAGTTTTTCTCGAAGTTTTCAACGTAGCACCAAAATTATTGCAAAACACAGTAGGAAATAAAAAAGCGAAACATCACAATTTTGCAAATAACTAAGACGAAACTATAAACAGAAACCAAAAGCCAAAGCCAACAAAAAATCACTAAAATCAGACGGAAAAATGAAACTAACCAAGAACATAAATAAATACACGTCACATCTTTGGTTTTTTCTCCCATAAGGCTTAAAAATGGAGTAAGAAATCACAATTTCACCAGTAGCCCCATCTAGAGTTTGGAGCAAATAGCATAAAAAATGTCAGTTGTCGGTTTTGACCTTGGTCATTCACGTGGAACCTCTATGTGCTTTGTGGTGGTAGTGGTTTTCATCCCTTGTCATGTCTCTTTTCATTGAATAACTCTGTAAATATTGCTTTTTATTTTATGATTCATTCTTACGACGTTGACCATTTACAGCTGCCGAATCCTTTGGGTCCATTTTTATATTGAGTACACATTCAAATACTTCACTAGAAGACGTTGCGAGAGCCGCGCCAAATGGTCGAAAATGGTTGCAGACTTACATTTTAACAAATCGGTAAGCCACATATTTTTTTCATTACCCATACGGAATATTTTAGTAAATAAAGATAGGTACATTGTTAGTGTTTTAGGTGTTTTTATATGGTGTATCAAAACTAAGTTAGTTGTATCCTTTTCTTTACCTTCATACAATAAAATTAGGCATTCCAATGTCCTGTCAGAATGGACAAAAATAGCCGATGCTTGGCGAGAACAACAAAGCTTCTTAACCTGACTTTTTCATTAGTATTTGACTGTTATTGCAAATCATGCAATTAATATTCTATATATTCAAAATAAATATTTATTTATGCCATTTTTCAACTAAACATACCGACAACAACAACAATAATACAAACTTAGAATAATAACCTCACTAGAAGTGTTTTTGTCAAAGGAAGCACGTACTTTTGTTGTTTTTGACAAGGGTCCACCATTTAAAGTCACGTGATTGCTTAATTATAAACTGTTTTTCAGACATCTTGTTGTTTATCCAACTACTAATTTAACGAAACTTGACTACCAACTAAAGATTACAAGAACTACCAATGTTAAGTCACACAACAGTTAGATAGTGTCAATAAGCTAAAGACATTTTAGACAAAGTCTTAAGTTACCTAATCTGCATATTAGACATTCCAACGACTTCTCAAATTGCTGACAAGTGGGAACTGACATTTTAGATATGGCAACCATGTGAGAGTTAATGATACATATATAGTTATGTAGATTGCTCAAAGCGTGTTGTTTGCGAGCGGCCATATTGCCTGGCAAGTGCTCATTAATCATCGATTTTGCAAAAATGTGTTACAAACCGATATTCAGCCTTTCAGTAGAGTAAAATAAAAAAATAATTACTTATATTTTTACTGGAAGGCATAAGTTTATGTTTATTTTGAAAAATATGGATGATTAATCAATCAAATTACCAGGCCTACGAGATTGTCATAATTTTCCCATATTATAACCTGGCAAAACCTACTGATAGTTATTTTCTTTGGAATGCCTAATTGTCAACTAGTATAGAATCTGCTAAAAATATTTATTATTTATCTGCTATATATATTTAAATTTGTTTTTCAAAAACAGAATCTCTACCCATATTAAGTAAAACGCAGGCCTAATATTCCAATGTCAAAATCACTTAAAAATATTGTTATTCAACTCACAATTCCTTACTTTTATACATTAGTTGATCTGCACAACGTTTGAATGTAAATACGTTTTTTTTTATATATAGTCAATAAATTTTAACTTTCCAGAAAAATAACAGAAGAAGTTATAAAATCTGCCGAAGCAGCGGGATTTGAAGCGATAGTGCTAACTGTAGATTTTGCAGTATTTGGTATAAGACTGGTGAATATAAAAAATAACTTCATGGTACCTCCTAACTTAAGGTAATAAATATTTTAATTTCCACTCGATTGTTTGTCTCTAAACATTCTTAACTTTACACACAACTAGTTTACTTGAACAATAAATATTCACTCAGTAATAAAGTGGCATAACTCAAAATTTGCATGTTTAGTCTTTTAGTCTTAAAAACGGGCCAAAATGGCGACCTTTGTATGTAGAACTTTTTAAATTATGCTGTTACTCAAACGCAGTACGCCTTGAGTTAGAGTAGCACAGTCATTTAAAAAGCTCCACATATGGAGGGCGCCATTTTGTGCTGTTTTACTATTAAATGTTTAATCTTGCAAATTTTGAGTTATGCCACTTTATTACTGAGTGTGCTATTATAAAATTTCACGTTGTACGTACAATTCGTTCGTCAATATCGCGAAGTGACGTAACTCGATTTTCACAACTTTACAAGAGAGCGTTTTAAAGTTTTTTTTTATAAAGTTACGGTTTTTCTTAAAATTATCAGATACACAGATACGTGCTATTTTAATAAATGTAATGTCTTGAGATACGCAATTTCGTGAAATTGTAAAGCACACTTTTTTACATATGTGACTGATCTCAATTTTCAATTTTTCGAGTTACGTCACTTCGTGATATTGACGACGATTTATCCATCTTTACGATTTTATTTTAGTGCATCGGAAATTTTGGAAAAGTACAGAAAAGATAAACTATTAGAAAATTTTGTTGAATTTTCTGATCCAAATGCCGATTGGGATTACATTAAATGGCTGAAGACAATAACTGACCTTCCGATTGTTGTAAAAGGCGTACTAACTGCAGAAGACGCTACTTTAGCAGTCAAAGCAGGAGCAGATGCAATTTTAGTATCTAACCATGGAGCTAGACAATTGGACAGTCTTCCTGCTACGGTGAATATCCTAATTTGAAAAAGTAAACCATTTGTCAGAGTTGCCAGAATGAAAATGATAAATCGTACTGAAAAATATTTTAAAACGTACCGAACTTCAAAAAAAAAAAAAACGTACTAGATAAAAAAAGCTGTATTTAATGAAAATGTGTCAATACATAAATCGAACAACACCTTAAAAATGGCTGGAGATTTAAATTCATTAACTATTAAATAACTTTTATAACATTTTTTTAAATATTTACAAAAAATTTAAGTGAACTTAAAATAATTTTATTAAATTTATTTAATCTTTCTGTATAACAAAAAAAGTTTTAATCCATTTTACTTTCAGAATTACAACCAACAAACTTGCAATAAATTTCAACTAAATTATTTGACTCATCACATGACTTAACTGTCAACTGTCATCCATCGTTAGTAAAATACGTCATTTTATTCAAAAAATGTCAAAATAGTACTGAATTGACTATTTTGTTGACAAAATACGTCACTTTTTTTCGAAAACTGTCTAAATAGTACCTACTGAAAATGGCATTAAATTGACTATTAAAATACCTTTTTTTACGTTGACGTATGACATTTCTCATAAGAATCTTGAGAAAATTTACTTTTTCTCGAGTTTTAAAATAGCAAGATTGGAATAAAAACTAAAATGAGTACACTCCGTCAAGAATTTTATTGTAAAAAAATATTTATTTTATAATTTATAGATAGAAGCATTGCCGGAAGTGGTGAAAGCTGTTGGAAGCAAAGTAGATGTTTATGTGGACGGAGGAATTAGAGATGGAACAGACGTGTTCAAAGCTTTAGCTATGGGGGCTAAGATGGTATTTATAGGTAGACCAGCAATTTGGGGTCTTGCTCATGATGGAGAAGCTGGAGTTAAGGAAGTAATCGGTATTCTTAAGAATGAATTGGACAATGCAATGGCAATAACAGGTTAGTATTATAGTAATAGGGACTAAGGGCCGATTCCACCGTTGTATTAAACGGAGATTAAAATGACATTGTTAATGTAAAAATGTCATTTTAAACTTCATTTAACACAACGATGGAATCGATCCACCCTAAGAATTTACTAAATATTTTTAAGATCTTTCTTAGTTTTAATAATTATTCTAAGATGATCACTATAGATAAAGAAACTAGCCCATGATATAAATCATCTATTACAGTAGCCAAAAATCGATTCTTTAATAATTTTTATTGACATTATTTTAATTTTACAGGTTGTGCAACTATAAAAGAAATTACACAAGATATGGTGGTTCATGAGTCATACTATTCACGACTTTGACAATCCAAATCACGTGACTTTAAATGGTGGACCTTTGGCAAAAACAAAAAAAAACAACAGTACGTGATTCCCTTGAGAAAAATAGTTCTAGTGAGATTTTTAGTCTAAGTTTGTATTATTTTTTTGGACTTTTTATTCGATGTGTGTAATTTAAAAACGCCATAATTTAATATTTATTTTAAATATATGAATACTATTTGTATGATTTTTAATTTTTTAATAACATAATACTAATGAAAACGTAAGGCTAAGAAACTTTGTTGTCCATTCTGACAGGACATTGGATTGTCTAATTAGGCAACGACCTGTCTGCATGGATACTTGTTAACTTTGACAGGGTCAATGATATTATATAGATTGCATAAAGGAGGTAGCATTGCGCGCGGCCATATTGTTTCGCAAGTGCTCTTTTACCAAAAATATGTTTTATACCCAACTTTTAGTCTTTGAATATAGTTAAAAAAATAGTTATCTATATTTTAATTCAAGATATGTTTATTTTGAAAAAACAATACGGAAGTAACAGTGCCAAATAAATTTTTTCTTGAAAGAAATATTTGTTTTATGTATGTACTGACAGAGTATAACAAAACTCTTAGGAAATCTAAGAGGGATTCATGGAGAACATTCTGTCAGGAAATTCAAAATACAACTGAAGTATGTAAATAAACGCCACCGCATTCTAGCAAAAGATCCAGTTAAGTCTTCACTTATTTAGTATATGTAAGTTTAATATTTCACTTATATTTATTATTCTCATTACTTATACTTCGTCAAGACGGTATTGCCCTAATTGGTCAAAGACCACATCCGCGTGGCGAAGAATGATTCCTGAATTCAAACGGTCGAACATCAGTATCGCCGCAAAACTCATAGAGTATACTCGAGTATTCGAGCATTGTGATAATTCGGTACAAATCCGCAAGTTACATTTCCGAACATTCAAATACCAGCTCGTAATACAGTCCACGACCCCTACAGCTTAGGGTAGACGCGCCTAGAAACAGAAGTCTGCGTTAGGAAGCCGAGGAAATTAAAGGTAGGAACTGATTGGCGAAGCTTTAAATTTTCTTACGCACATGACATATCGTTAGCTTAACCATAACCTATTCAGATCCAATAAACACTGTAGGGACTTTAAAAACCCAAACAGGGGAATACATTAAAACTGGAATGGAAACATTAGAACTACTTCTTAAAACTCATTTCCCTAAATGCAACAAACCAAACCCAAACGAACTGGAACTCAAAAAAGAATCTCCAGCCAAGAGTGGGAAACTGCTAAACGGATAGTCACAACAGAAAAAGTAACATGGGCAATACGCACCTTCAATCCATACAAATCACCAGGATCAGATGGAGTACTGCTTGTGTTTTTGCAGAAGGCAATAGGAACGCTGGCCCCGTATATTTGTAAGCTCTACAGGGCAAGTTTGGTGCATAAACATATACCAAAAACAAAGCAGAGTTGTTTTTATACCAACATATACCGTGGCAAAGGCTTATAGACCAATAACTCTGGCGTCATTTCTATTGAAAGGATTGGAAAAACTAATTGATCGGCATGTCCGGCAAACCACTCTGATAGAGAGGCCATTTCATACAAACCAACATGCCTATCAATTATGAAATCTTGTGAGTCTGCTCTGTATCATCTCGTAACAAAGATAGAAGGGGGACTCAGTAGCTAAAAAATAGTCCTAAGAGCATTTCTTGACATAGAAGGAGCTTTTGATAATGCCTCCTTTAAATCAATGGTAGCTGCCGCTCGCAAACATGGAATAGAAGACACCATCTGCTGGTGGATAGAAGATATGTTACGCGGACGGCAAGTACAGGCACCAATGTTCAATGAAACCATGCAGGTGAATATCCACAGGGGATGCCCACATGATGGAGTCTTTTCTCTTCTACTGTGGAACCTAGTGGCAGACGAATTGCTAGAAACACTGAACAGGACTGTAGGCCCAAGGATATGCCGATGACATAGTCATCCTTATCTGAGGGAGACAACAAAGCAGTCTTCGAACTCATGTAGACTGACAGAAATGTGGTGCTTTAGGGAAAACCTCTTGGTAAACCCTGACAAGACACAACCCCTAACCTATAATCGAAAAACAAAGTTGGAGGTTTTAGAAACTCCGACTCTGTTTGGAGAAAGGCTAAACAAAACGAATCGAGTAAAACATCTGGGTCTAATTCTAGATAGCAAACTTACTCTTATTGTAGGGAGACGGGCATTTGAAAAAAACATGGGGATTAAAACCAAAAATGGTCTACTGGCTATATTTGCCAATAACAAGACCCATGATAACTTATGGAGCGGTTGTTTGGTGGCTGACATGCCTCTGTATTACAGGAGCACTGAGAAGTATACAGACACCCTCTATGGAAATCATTCTAAACCTCCCATCCCTTGACTTAATCATAAAGGGGGAGACCAGAATGAGTGCATACAGACTGGAAATTTCTAACAACTGAAACCTATTGGGATATATTAAACATAAGAATAACACATGAAGTAAATGATTCTATATTAAACATGGGATCAGATCACATGACACCCCTCCTAACAACATACTCTTCCAGGTCAACTGCAACATGGTACGTTTTCGAGAAATTTGACAAAATCGCAAAATTCAATTTTTAAGAAACTTGTTCAAATAAAATTTGTTTCCGATATCATTCTCTATAACTTTTAATACATACATGATTTCTCTAAAATGGACTGTAATAGAAAAATTTGAGCATGTCTAGAGCACCTACCAGTACCACAATCACCCTTCACCTAGTTCTACGAAAAGGGAGCAGTGGCTCAAAAAACACGATTTTGGGTGGTTTTTCGTAGTTTCCATGGAAACCGCAAAACAAATTTTAACGCCGATTTTTTTTAAAAAGCGTCTCGTGGGTCTAGACCTTCGGGCCAGTTTCATTAAATTCGATCTATCCGTTCAGACGGTACGATTTTTTTAAAGTCGCCCGGAAACCCCTCTTACGAAATTTGGCCGAAAAAAAATGGCGCCCGACGAAATTTCTGTGTGCGTGGTGAGATAAAAAGAGGCAAAGGGTGTTTAGGAAAAATATAAAAAAAAATTATTTGTTTTTAGTAAACCGACGAAAAACGATAAAGAAATTTTCAAAACGTCATAAAAAGTGACAGTTGACAGTTGAAAATCTCCTATAGTCACCTCACATTTCTAGAGCATCTACCAGTACCACAATCGCACTTCCACCGTGCACCCAGTTCTCTGAAAAGGGAGTAGTGGCTCAAAAAACACGATTTTGGGTGGTTTCACAATTTACAGGGGTGATACAATAGGTTATACAAAATAACTTGTAATAACTATGAAGGAAAGTCATATGTAATGGTTTTTGGTAGGATGGGTGCTCAAGAAAAATAAATTCATTTAAATAATATCAACATTTATTAATAACATAAATATTACAGATCAGAAATACTTTTTACATTAAAATATAGTTAAAATTAAAATCACAATCTTTGTAAGAAAAGTGAGATGCAAAATTGAAGAAACCATAATGTTTGTTATATTATGAGCTGTACAGTTCATTAGAATTGTTTATTAGTACATATTATCTACTTTTAAACTGAATACAAGCTTAATTTTGAATTTATTACAGTAGCATTTCATCCACCAAAATTATATAGAATACATTAATTTTTTTTCAAATTTAAAATAGTCAAATTATCTTTCAGAAATTCCTCGTTAAATTTTTATGTAACATTGTTTGTGTACACCTTCATTTTGCAAATTATAATTATTTGAAATCAGATATTGCTAGATTCATAAAACACAAAATATATTTCTTTATATTTTATTTATATATAGTTATTAATAATCATGCATTGCATCTCAAAAAATTCCTTGTATTGTACTCATATATTTTTTCTTTAAACGTCAGATTTGTCCACTTTGATGGTGGAATTCCAGATTTTTAATAATAATTTGACGTGTGAAGAAAAATAGTATATTATTTACCAAGTAGGAAAAGTGTAACATTCCTGAACGACTGTGAAGATTGTAACAACACAGAGTCCAGAAATGTGACTTTGTAAGGAAATTAATATTTCCTAACAGTTAGGAAATCTTGACTTTTCTTTAAGAAATGTTGTTTGGAATGTCAAAATTTCCTATCGATTTGCGGAAAACAATATAACTGTTCTATTAAACTAATTTCTAATGATCTGTAGGCTTACACAAATTATAAAAGCCCATCAGAAACTATCCGTTAAGTATCCATATAATTTTATTGCTAAGAAACGCTAAAACCTATCACAAGGAACAATTTATCTATGCAACTTCCTATACACTTTCAAGCAGCAAACGAAATAAAATGAGATTTTCTTTCGACTTTAATATTTAAATTTGCCGCCACATTTAAGTTGGCAACGTCCAGTCTGATCTTTGGTAATTTCCTAGTTTTGACACAGATAGACTTCACTTGTCAATTGTCATGACAGGGTGGTCGTTAGTCAGGTGCATGGCGATTAAACAATTTCTAATTATTTTATGATTTTACTTACTACATTTGCAAATATAGAACTTTTTTTAGATATTAAATTTATTTTCAAAGATATGTTGGTGTTAAAATAAATCTAGTACCATCCAGATTTATTTTATTATCATTTTAATTTAGTTATAGAATTGAATTGCATCAAGAAAATTGAAAAGATGTCTTTGCTCGCGACAATGACTTATATTATGGGCAAAAACATGTCTATTCTGCTTTCATTTGCAAATTTAGCTGTTGTAGAAGAACTTTTGAATAAATCTCAATATAACAATTATTTTCGTTGCTTCTAACCATTTTGTATACTTATTCTTCTCTTCTACACGTTTTTAATAGATAATTTGTATCCTTTGATTTAAAACTACTCACATATCGATAATCACTCTTCAAAATCTAGTTCTAAAGAAATAAAAATGTAAATGGCGATGGTAAACTAATTGATACAGTTTTGAAGTTTCATTTTATGTCTCCATTTGGCGCTACCTCAGTATAATAGACAAGGATGCCAATTTTGAAATGCAATAAAGTGAATTTGTAGCCTTTTATACTATAATAATCAGCGACGGAGCGTCTGGGGTTAACGCCACTTTTTAATTAAACCAGCAGGTTCTTGATGAGTTAATAAGTGTGCCGATTTCTAGCCAATATTAGAATCTGTGATTTGGAGAAAGTTCTTTTTCTATTAAATCTTTTAAAATGCCAATTTCGAAATGCAATAAAGTAAATTTCTCGCATTTTATACTATAATAATCAGCAGCAGTGCGTTTGAGATGAACCATTAAAAAAAGAAGTATCGTCTGTATTTATTACGACCGTATCCACATCAAGTAAGTATTAATATTAGTTGGTAACACTGTTAATTATCATTGCTGTCACTTATTTTCTAACTTGTCACTTGTCGTTGACATTTTTACATGTATGGTAGTTTTTATCATTAAAGGCCATTTGCATCGCTAGTAGTTAAGAAATTAGCAAAGCTTAAAACGACATTGTTAAGGAAAAAATGTCATTTTAAGCTCAGCTTATTTCTTAACGACCAGTGTTGCAAATGGACCTTAATCATCCTGGAATTAAAGTTAAATTCACAAATTGCGTTTAATTCAAAAGGTTATGGGCTCAGCACCCTTCCACTGCGCCATCGATGAGTTTTTCAATCGTACTACTAGTTAGAATAGAGTAAAGCTTGATGGAAGTTGATGTGTGGAACAGGCGGATAGAATGGCTTCACCTGAGGTGGTAGAAGTCTACCAAATGGCTATTTTCAAAAATGGAACATCTCTAAGACGTTATTAACCTTTACTCAAAAGGATGGTCATCTCTAAACATGTCTCGGCGGCAATCAGCTGGTTTTTAATGAGTTAATAATCTGCAGAACTTTGATGATGAGCTAGGAAGCTGGTAATCTTTAGAGACCTCTCAACGACAACCAGAATGTTTTTGATAAGTTAATAAGTGTGCCGATTACTCGCCAATATTAGAATCTGTGAATAGGAGAAAGTTCTTTTCCTGTCAAATCTTTCAAAGTATATACACGTGCCGTAAAACATTTTGTGTGATCTATTTCGTAGGAAAAGGGTTAGAATAATTGTATACCATTCTAAATTGCACCGCAAATGAAATTAAATCAAAAGATTTATAGTATTTTAGAAGACTCGAAAGGCTGGTAATCCCTAAACACGTCCCAGCGACTACCAGAAGGGTTTTGATGAGTTTAATAACTTGCAAGACTTTAATGATGAGCTAGGTGCTGGTTTTCTCTTTCAACGACAGCCGGAAGGTTTTTGATAAGTTAATAACTGTGCCGATTACTGGCCAATATTAGAATCTATTATTTGGAGAAAGTTTTTTTTCAAAGTATAGACAGATGCTGTAAAATATTTTGTGTGATCTATTTCGTAGGGAAAAGGTAAGTATAATTGTATACCATCTTAAATTGTTCCTAACCCTCTGCTTAGCTATGCCAATTTATTAAAACTTGCACTACCGCTGATAAATATTTAAATTTGATTTATGATGGTCTTCCTTGTGTATTAAACTATACATATAAGTGTCACAAAATAGAATCGGATATATCCTTCCAAAAAACGTTCATTATGGTAATGAAAAACGAAACAAAAAGAGAATAATAACATTCTAACACCTAAGCCTAAGCTCAACTAAAAAACACCGTGAGTCGAATTTGTATAATTCGAGAAATAGTGACATTCACTTGACATCAACTTATAAAAAAACATCCTACAAAAGCTTGTTATCTCGACACACACATATACAGGTAAATATCAACTGTACATTGAACTGTTACTAAAATAATTATTTAACATTTATTTATATATTTATATATAACATACTTCAATGGCTTTGTATATTATTTTACAAGTAAAACGTATAAATGTAGCCTCTCAGCAAAAATCACAATATCAGGAAAACATAGTACGAGATGTGGCTATAAAAAAAACACCAGACTGATTATTCTGCAGATAACTGTCGATTACAATTCGTTACATGTGAAGAGCAATATATTATTTAAGAGAATTTTGTTTCCTCTTCTCGGGTTCTAATCAGATTATTAATTCCATAAATTATGTCTCATCAAATTGATTTTAAAATATTCTCGAGATTTAGATTCAACAAAAATAGCTGACTATTATTAAGGTCTTTGTATATTAACCTTGATAAATGCATTATAGTATTAATGCTGTAACACTTGAAGCTTTTTGTTTTAATGATTTTTAGGTGAGAATACGTTTAAAGCATTGTTAGATACTGGATCGGATTAGAAAATTATTAAATTTTCATAGCTAAATTTTATCTTTTTGACAAATTTTAATATCATTTTTCTCACATGTTTATCAATAATAATTACTTTACAAGGTCTCTTAATTTTTTTACTTGTTTTTTACTTGGAGGACATAATGTATAAAAAAAGAAAAGGAAAACAAAAATTAAGGAAAAATTGTAAAAAAAAAGAAAAAAAAATGAAAAATAGCTAATACATATAAAAAAGAGGAAAAATACTAAAAAAAAAAAGAAAAAAATAAGAAAATCCTAATACGAAATTTTATAAAAAAACGTCAAAAATCCTATGCGTTTGGAACGCATTTATTCAACAAAATTCGACTCCATATCATGTGTCGACAGTCATGATGAAATATTTCCAATGTCAAAACGATTTTATACCTTAAACGGCTACGAAACTTACCAGATATAAATCCTATGGCAATTAGAAAAGCTAGACTTCGTAAAATAGATATAAAAAAAACTTTCGAGACTAACAAATATCAAAAAAGATTGTACAGCACTAATCCAATTTTTTTTAGCCACACCTCATAATCCTAGTACTCTAAATCAATAATAAGTGAATTAAGTGACTATAAAGTCTCGTCAAAATTTTTTTACGACATCGACACCTTAAAAATAATCAGAAGATACTGTAAATAAAAATTTTTAATTCTAAAAATATAAATGAGTATAACTTACTTTTTAACCCAATAAAAACTGATTAATACTTGTAAATCTAATCTGTTAGTTTGTGTGAAACTTAAGGTATGTTCCAACATGCGCGAAAACCGTAATATTACGGTTTTCGCACGTGTTGGAACAAACCTCTATACTCTTATCAATATATTCGATATATTGAGCTAAAAAGACAGTTATACGTATGAACGAAATCGTTCCATTGCTCAATAATCTTAGAACGTCTGTCTACTGGTTCCTTTAGACAAGAAATCAATCAAGAATTGAGGTATATTAATACTTGTGTGTTCTATTTTCATATTCCTAAGTACAATAATGACGGTAACCTTTTTAGCAGGTAACATAATCGATAACTGGATTTCTTCACAATGAAAGGTAGCATTTGAAGTCGACCACTTAGAAAAATAAACGGATATTTTTCAATTTTTAATATGCCGGTGCCTGGAAATCGGTAGGACCTAAAAATATATATACGGATCAGTATTCATTCCGTTTCATTAAACAAAAGTGTTAACTAGTGAATGAATGAACACTAATCACAGGAAATACTTGATAATTTAGAAAAACTAGAAAAATGTCTGACCTGACGTTCTTCATATATCAAATAATAACTAACTTAATGTCTACTACAGGACAAGCATGTAGGTAATCCATGTAGTATTAATGAAATATGCTAAAAAAAAAGTACAAAAGCTTCATGGATGAGAACATGCGCAGAAACGACCGCGTTAGTATTGTTTTTACTTTCCTATAAAAAAGAGAAGTATTGTAATCAGGAAAAAGTCACCTTCCGAGATTATTATAGATTTTTACGTTTCAGGATCCCTAGATTATAAAAAAAAACATGTTTCCACATTCTATCAGTTTTTAAATTAAAAATAAAAATCGGCATATTTCGACTAAAATTGGTATCTGAAAATTTTAGAAGCCAAACATTATAGATCCTAAATATGGCGCTGAAAGGAATCGTATTTAATCGAAAAGAGTCCCCCTTGAATGGAAATAAAATTTGTCCATTTGGTTTGTGTAAATGGACTAATTTAAAAGCAGCCAATTATTGGTCAGTTATCTTACCTCTCTGTCCAGGACCGGCTGAAAAAGGTGGTTCTTGATACGGTTGATCCGATTCCGGTCCTCCCGGATAGGAGGGGTACGATGCCGGCATAGTGGACTCGTTCTCGTAATTTGTAGCGAATGCCGCGGCGGTTCCTTGTCGGAAACGTTGGTATGCAAAGACTGCGGATCCAGCCTATTAGAAAATGTCTTATTATTTACATGGTTTCTCACGATGAATGAAATTTTTTCGAAGCTTTTCAGGGCGTAGTGTTACGGTAAATTTTACAGTCCCCTCGTAACACTATCTTCAACAATTAAATTTTAAATCTAAATATTCTAAAAAAACTTACAGTTCAATTTTCTTTTGCATTTTTAAAAAATTAAAAATATTTCTTTTCTTAAATTTCTTCCTCATTAAAGTTCTATATATTTTCTTTTCTTTAATTTTCAATATTAATTCATCTACCACAAAAAAAATCAATCCCCTCTTTTTTTATTTTTTCGTTACAGTAGATCAAGCATAAATAATAATAAATATAATTGTTTATTTCAGAAAATGCTAACATTATTTTCCTATAGAAGAAAAATATACCAACAAAAACAAAAACTAGTGTACAAATACATAGATGTCAATAAATTACAGACAAACTTAAAATTAAAACTGATTATTTAAAAAATCATTAACACTACAGGGTTCTTAAGTTTAACAGTAATTTTTTAATTTCTTTTTTGAACTTGGTAATACTTGTACAATTTTTTTAAACAATTTAATTGTCATATAATAAGGGGACTGAGAGGTCCTTTTATTTTGTATTTTATTTCACATATTTCGTGAACTTTAGTAGTGCTCCTCGTATCTTCACATGGTCAAGTTTTGTTATAAACACCCACAGTTTTTATATAGATTTTAATTACATATCTAAGATAATTAACATTTGTTTTTGTCAAACTTACTATATTTTCGACCTACGTGTTTACAACATCTGACCTATGTGTCAAGTTAATAAAAGTTTACGATAATTCAGGGCATCATTAAACCCAAGTTCATTTCGAATAATGTTAGTATTTGTTTCTATTACTTCGTGGTTCTATTAAAATTAGCACCGTCACTATTCACCTTGTTATCTATTGTTTATTCATATCAACCACACGATTAAATAGTATCAATTACAATTAATGATAAATTAAAAAATTATGCTTTATTTCCAAATAATATACATGCAAAAAGTGATGGCAAGACGCTCCTTTGATAAAAATGGGGACTATACAACACTTATATTGAAACTTAAAACTTCTGTCAACAGATCGTCGTTAACGAGACGAACAGGCGTATCTCAAAATTGCAAAATTTGAGTAATTAATGTTTGAACATTTTTAATAACTTCAGTCTGGATTTTTTTTTAACTTTAAAAGGCTAATAACATAAAATGTTGTGTCAATGCCAATACATAATGCATGTAAATATATATTAATTCTGAAAACGCCTTTTGATGGACCTAACTTAAATCCTGGAATTTTTGAGACACGCCCCTTCGAAATATAACAATTTAGAAAGAACCAATCCTGCTAGAAGTATCTCGAAAATATTTTTTGTGTATTACTATTTTTATGCAATGATTTTACTGTGCCATTACTTACGAATCACCCTCTATAAACGAATTTAGTTTTTCTCGGCAATAAAATACTGTTATTACAGAAGCAAGCCATAACTTTAATAAGTTTTTAATAGACCCTATCTAGTTAAACCAATGACTATAACATCAACTTAATGACTAATAAAATATTATAGTTACAATATCGATTAGTCATTACGGCATAAACATTTTTAATTTTGTTGATATTTAATTTAAATTTATCCAATATTTGACAAAATACCAATGGGTTTACTTTTTACAAATACTCACAAAAACGCAGATGTTATATTAGGTGAAAATAATATCAAAATAACGAGTGGAATTAGTCAACGATATTTAATTAAAAAAACGTTTCTAAAAATAAATGTTATATACATAATTAGATGAAATGAATTCTGAATAAGGATGTGAAATTTACTAGTCTGTAATTTATAGATTTTAATTTTTGAATAACATGTTTCTAAATTTTCTTCTTGTAATGAAAAATTAATAGTATGTAAAGAAATACTTTTTGTATATTTTTGGATGGCCCTGTATATAGGTGTAAACAGTACCGAACTCATGAAACTGCACACCAGCACAAAAAAGGGACAATAAAAACTACTTTCACAAGAAGAATTTCTCGCTAAACCATCTATACATTGTTCTAAACGCGGTGAACTGCTGTATCGACTTTTTTTGAAGATTATGCGGTTTAGTCATCGGTATACTTTTTATTTTTGAATTCACTAGGAAATATAATATAAATGTGATCTTTACGGCACATAAACAAAGACTGAAGCAAAGTATTGGGATAAGGGAATATAGCAAATAGTTCCAGCTTTCAACTATGTGATCGAATGGAAGCATATACAGGGGACGACAAGACGAGGCATCATATAATTAATCTTATAAATATTCCTATGGTTTTTCTTACAAGTCCTTTGGAAACTTTACCATTTAGAAAGTAAAAACGAAAATAAAACAAACTTAAATGTGATCAAGACGTAAAATAAATAAACTGAATGCCAATATCACCGTTTCTCTTTGACTAATACCGCAACAGGCATTGAACTATATTCAAAGGAAAGACAGCAGAGATAGAAATTAAATTTCAACACTCTACCTTATGCTTGGACCGGTTTCGTCCCTATTTGGACTTTTCAGCAAGAAATAGGTTCTCAATTCCAGTCTCTAAATGATTTTTTTTTTATTTAGAAAGTACCTTAACCAAATTGAACTACTGGCTACTATAAATAATACAATAACAAAAAAATTAATTCAGTATAATCGGGTTCAGAGATTTTTCATGCCTAGATGCACACCATTAAGTTATTAACAATTTTACAGCATCATCCTGTATTTCACGTTTTTATATGTTAACAAAGAGGTGACGAAATGTAATTAAAACGAGATAACTAGGTCAGGACGAGACAATGCGACAAAATGATACTTTGAATAGACCCGATCGCCGGCAGCAGCTTTTTGAGAACATATTTTTAGCATATAGAAACGAATTCAAATTTAAAAGTATGGGATCGCAATGAAATTCTTCATTTTTCAACTATAAATGAATGGGTTGTATTGATAAATACTCAGTCTGTCATATAATAACAAAAACTAGTACACAACCTTAAAAACTGGTTAAATTACGGAAAAACAATTGTTTTAAATTAGAAGGTTTAAGTAATGACGCGAAATAGGTGTAACATAAGAGAAATGTATTATAAAAAAAAATGATGAAAGAAAGATAGACAAAAATTACTCCAAAAAGGTTTTGAATTTCGAAATATCTCGAAAACTGGTTAAATTACCAAAAAACAATCGTTTTGAATTAGAAGTTTTAATTAATGGCGCTAAATAAGTATAACATAAGAGAAATTCATTCCAAAAAAGATGATGAAAAAGAAAGATAGACAAAAACTAGTCCAAAAATCTTTTTTATTTCAAAATATCTCGAAAACTGGTTAAATTACGGAAAAACAATCGTTTTGAATTAGAAATTTTAAGTAATGGCACTAAATAAGAGAAATTCATTACAAAATAGATGATGAAAAAGAAATGTAGACAAAAATTAGTACAAAAATCTTTTCCATTTCGAAATATCTCGAAAACTGGCTAAATTACGGAAAGGAGTTTTAAGTAATGGCACTAAACAAGTGTAACTTAAGAGACATTTATTATAAAAAAGACGATGAAAGAGAAAGACAGACAAAAACTAGTCCAAAAATGTTTTCTATTTCAAAATATCTCGAAAACTGGCTAAATTACGGAAAAACAATCGTTTTGAATTAGAAGTTTTAAGTAATAGCACTAAATAAGTGTAACATAAGAGAAATTCATTAAAAAAAAGATGATGAAAAAGAAAGATAGACAAAAACTAGTCCAAAAATCTTTTCTATTTCAAAATATCTCAAAAATTGGTTAAATTACGGAAAAACAATGGTTTTGAATTATAAATTTTAAGTAATGACGCTAAATAGGTGTAAAATATGATAAATTCATCATAAAATAGATACAAAAGACAAAAACTAGTCTAAAAATCTTTTCTATTTTAAAATATCTCGAAAACTGGTTAAATTACGGAAAAACAATTGTTCTCTATTAGAAGTAATGGCGTTAAATATGTGTATGACAATAAAAATTCATTATAAAATACCAAAATATTTCAAAATTACCAATAAGGAATATTTAAAACTATTTTTCAACCCCAAGGTGAAAACAAATTTATGGAAAAATTCGTGTTTTACGCACACTGCCTTACCAATTCAGCTATCTGGGCATTACATGTCCGGATTCTGAATTATTAATTTTAATATGAGATTTGAATCAAACTTTGTGACAGAATATTCAATTTATCAACAAACTTAGCAAGAAGGTGTTAAGAAAGGTCCTATATCGGTATATAGTTTTATATGAAAATCGTATTTAATGACCTGTATAGTGGAAAATAAATAACTGAAAACCATTTTTTTTTGTGGTAAAAGGTTTTCGAAAATAATACATAAAAAAGACTCATGAGGACAGAATTAACGCTAAAATAGTTAAATTTTGAAAAATTTTGACAGCTCTGTGACAACCATAACATTGCTTCTAAGGGAGGGGGAAAGGGTGTCGCTTTTTTTGGCATGTCATCTCCATAAAAAAAAAGGTTTTCGATATTAGTCAAAATTTATGTCGATGCACTATTTTTTTTAATTGAAAACAAATGTGTACGTACAGGGTGAGTCAAAACTTATATACATCATTTTCCGTTTTTTTTTTTTTTAAATTGACCACCAAGTATTTTATATCATGTCATCACCCATGTACAGCATTTTGATGGGTCGTCGAATGTCTATTAGTTTATTCTCTATATTTTGCTACTAGCTGTAAATAATAAAGAACTGTATTTTTTCAAGCTTAAAATAATTCAACTTTGTTCTTCTAAATGCAATTTTATGATCCTTGATCAATAATTAAAAAAAAAAATACATTTATCACAAATAACCGCTATTCCCTACTCAATTTACACTATATATAACTTCATTTTCTGCCATTTTTCTGAATTCAAACATGAAGAATAATTTGTTTGCTTGGATTAAGGTGGGTGTGCAATGACATTTTTTTTGTGTACGTATTATCATACACAGATTAAAAAAAAAAAACATATTTTATTAATAATTACTATAAATTTGTAAAAATTTAACTGTTTAACGCCACAAATGTTTACAAGTCTGCATCGGTTCGATAACAAAGTTAAAAAAAATTCTACTAAGCGTCACGTCGCCATATTTAATTTGTAAAACTATGTAAGCACAGACAAGAGTGTGATGAATTCGTATAGTTAGTGTTTTATTACAATTATTGTAAATTAAGTTTTTAATTAATCTACAATATTGAATAGCGTTAAACGTTGCCAGTATTTTATTTCCCACCATCGAAGGTAAGTCAGAATATGATGTAAAGAATAAGCACAATAGGTTTAATAACTTATTATATTATTATAAATAGGGATTTTTATTTAAAAATAGAAAATTTATTACAATTTTCTGATATTTCCGGAAGTAATCCATGACATGACATCACATTATAAGAATTTTTTTTTCTAAGGTACCAAAAAACTTCCATATTGGAAATAGTAACTATTATTAAGTAGGTTCACAAACACTTTTTTTTTATGAGCCAAGTAATTGACTTCTAAATGATTGAAAAAACAAGAAAAAAAGGCAATTTTACGGTGTATCAGATAGTACCCCTGTAAACCATATAAACATAACTAAATAATATATTTATAATTTGATTAGTTCAATAATAAATAATGAAAATAGTTTTCAAATTAGACCTGATAACTCACCAAATATCTTACGTATTTCCATCACAATCTAATTAAAATATTAAAATAGATAGAAAAGTTACTTACCCAGGAAAATATAGAAAAGAAAGAGAAAGCAATGGCAGCCTGAACGTTATTGACTCCAACTCCATTTGGAGGTCGATCTGATTTTCCCCATTGGCTGGTCAAATACCAAAATCCAACGAAATAAAGGAAAGACCAGAAGGCTGAAATGTTTAAATAAACCAATAATTCTATAATAACATTAATAAATGTATAAATTATCGAAGTATTTTAGGAATTTGCTGAAAAGTGATGATTCTTAAACAGTTATTAATAAAAATATTGTATATATTAAATGTTCTTTAAACGCAGCAATAATTTTCTTTCTTTCTTGTTCTTTTTTGTTTTGTATAGTTGACATGTAAGTGTACTGTATCTTATATTTTTTTTTATTGTTTCTTGTTGATTCTATACTTATGTATTTTTTATATTTTACATGTGAAGATGTATTGACATTGTTTTTCCAAGATTATCAATTTAGAACATTATTTTAACAAACTACCTTTATTTTTTGATAGACCATTTCCTGGTAAAATCCCGACGATTTAAACTGAACCATCCTGTAATACATAACAGGGTAATTACCTGAGAATCCTAGATCAGCCAATACGAAATGTTTTCTAGTTTTGACAGATGACATTTGTTCGAAGAGATATTCGCCAACAAGGAATCCCATGCTGGCTAAAAATGCTATAACACTTATTCCGACGCCATAGTTGCAAGCGTTCGGATCGTCATTGTAAAGACAAGTGTGTCTTTTCGTTTTATCGAGTCGCCATCCTTGTGATGAAATGCAGCCGAATACTATAATGGAAAATAGCTGAAAAGGAAAAATTATAAAACATAAAGTCCTAAGTCTAATTTGAGATTTCTTCTTATTTAGGAGTACCAAGTAACAAAATTTGTAAAGAATTACCAAAACTATTATCGTCCTTTGACCAATAAATCTGAATAAAGATATGATAGAAATAATCAGAATGTTTGAAATGGAAAATGAGATACTCAAAAATGATTTATTTACAAATAAAACAAAAAATGAAAATACTGAAGATCAAATAATAACAAATTTAAATAAAGAAATTGCAGAATACAAAAATCAAATTGTGAAACTAGAAAAACAAAATAATAAAATAGCTGAAGAGCTTAAAAACATTAAGTTTGAACTAAAAAATTTAGGGACTAAGAGCAGCATAACAAAGGAAGATTACTGGATAAAAACAAGACTTGTAAAGAAGAAGTTAACAAAATTATTCTACAAATGCAACACCAAAAATACTAATTTTGACTGATGAACATGTAAAGGGAATCGGCATGGAACTAAGAAACAGTTTAAAGATGTCCAAATTTTGCAAATTACTAAACCTGGAGCAACTTTAGACCAAATGATAGAAAATATTGACAAGTAACTTTTAAAAACGTCTAACACTGTATCACTAACTCGATAATGTTCAAGAACATTAAGAAGTTTTTGTGATATACAGTTTCAAATGCCATTGCAAGATCTAAGAACAATGCAATTTTATTATCAAAATATATTATTGTGTTCCTAAAATGTTACTAAATATTTTAAGCATTTTTCAAAAAATTTTCCAAGGTTACTAATTACACTTATTGGCCTGTATTTACAGATTTTTTTGTAAAGTGCTTTGTAAATAAGTGTATTAAATTGCGATGGGACAGTACTTTTTTCAAAAATTTAATTTATTATATGCTTCACTGGTTGTAAAATGAACAAGTGCATTTTTTTTAGATGTTATCTCATCACTGCCAGATGCACTAATATTTTTTAATGTTGTAATGTGATTAATTAATTCAGTATCTGATACAGGAGTAAGAAATAATGAATTAACATTTCTTATCAGAATCACGACTACACACAGGTATGTATAGATAAAAACAACTACATTAATAAATCTGGAAGACTATTTTTTAACAAATTTTCCCATATACAGGGTGTCCCGAAATTAGACGGTCATATTTTAACAGCGTAATCTACATCCTAAAATAAGAATAAAAGTTAATATAAACATAGGTCCGAAAACGTTTCGTTTTCGAGATACAGGGTGTTACAAGTGACGTCCTGATGGCACATTTTTGTAAATATTTTCTAAAATTTCTTTAGTCACCGGTTTTCCAAAGTAAAAAAAAATAAAATTTCTGATTTCACAGCCCTACTAATTATTGTTTACACTTTCGAATAACTTATCATGAAATTTTCAAATGCTTTTTTCTTGAAAATGGTACGTCCTAGCGAGATGCAACAGAAGTAGCTTTATTATAAAGAAAATATTGGTTTTCCAAATTTTATAGTCAAAAATGTTAAAAACTGTCAACAAAAAAAAACTTAGGGCAATTTTACCCTAAGCCCCCCCTAATTTACCCACCTATAAAGATTATCAAAAACTAAGGGTTAGTCCAATAAATAGGGCGTCAAAAAGTAAGCATTTGTACCAAATATCACTTAGTTATCTTTAAAAGTTTAGAAAATATTTACAAAAGAGTGTCATCAGGACTTCACATTTAACACCCTGTATCTCGGAAAAGAAACGTTTTCGGACCTATGTTTATATAAACTTTTACTTCTATTTTAGGATGTAGATTATGCTGTTAAAATATGACCGTCTAATTTCGGGACACCCTGTATACTGAAACTGTGGTTGATTTTAATCTAGGTGATCATTTTTAACTTGGATATTATGCTTGGAGACATCTCATGTGCACAAAACAAAATTAACAATGAAATAGTAACTTTTATATATATCTCACAATCAAGTGTTTGCAATGAAAATACTCCAGAAATTGCAACACAACTTTTTTATGACATGTATCTTAATATCATTGAAACATGTCAAACCACTCAAATTATTAAAATTAAAATCCATAAAAAAATAAAGCCATGGATAACAAATGGTTTAATTAATTCTATTAAAACTAGGGATAAACTAAAAAAAGATCTACAAAAAAAACTATACTTATAACAAACAAACTCACTATAAAACATTTAGAAATAATTTAAACAAACTAATATCAAAAAACTAAAAATTACTATTGTAACAATAAAATAAACCAAAACAAAAATGATCTGAAAAAAAATTATCAATTAATCTCTGAAGCAACTAATGAAAATCATAAAAAAAAATAATACCAATTTACAGATTGTTAACCAACATAATGAGGAATTTGAAAATGATAATGAAATGGCGAATTACTGCAATAACTACTTTTCAACTATTGGCACTAATGTGTTTACAAATATCCCTGAATGTAATGTGGATTTTCCTGTGTCACTGAAAAAAATCAATGTTTCTGAAACCAATATGCAAAAACGATATTATAAAACAAATAAATAGTTTAAAAAACAATAGTGCCCGGGATTTGATTGTATAACACTAAAACATCTGAAACTACTACATCTGTATTTACTGGAACCTTTAATGCATATAATTAATTGTATTTTTAATACAGGAATCATACCTAAATAATTTAAAACTTCAATTATAACACCTATTCATAAAGCTGGTAATCCAAAATTAATAACTAACTATAGGCCTATTAGTTTAATTAGTAATGTGGCCAAAATATTTGAGAAATGTGTGAAAGATAGACTGACAGATTTTTTTAAAAACTAACTTACTTCCCAAGCACCAATACAGCTTTACTGAGGGTCTTAACTCAGGAGATGCTATGCATGAATTGATTTCATATGTTACTGATGAAATGAATACTGGTAACAAGTGTATAGCTATATTTCTAGATCTAGCAAAAGCATTTGACACGGTGCCACATCAGAAGCTCTTAAATGTTCTTGAGCAGAATGGAGTGAGGGGCATCATGTTGAAGGGTTTTGAAAATTATTTGACACACAGACAACAGAAGGTAAAGGTCAGAGACAATGTGAGTAACCCTGAAAATATACAAATCGGAGTGCCTCAAGGGACTGTTCTGGGACCTATACTACTTAATTTGTTACTGTTTAAGTTGTATCAAATGCTGATGATACAGTGCTAGTCTTCAGTGATAAAGATTGGGAAGCCATCAAGACACATGCTATAGCTGGAATAGAACATGTCAAACACTGGCTGGATGTTTTTAAATTGTCTTTGAATGTTAACAAAACAAACTACATTGCTTTTACAAAGACAGGTAACAGAAACATCCAAATATTTAGGTATAATTATAGACCAGCACTTCAAATGGGACTGCCATATAATATATATAGCAAAAAACTCAGATTTTTTTATAAATTTTATCTTCTAAAACAATTTCTCAACCAGGATCTACTAATAACATTATACTAAAGTCTAGTAGATTCTATACTACAGTATGGAATCTTAGTATGGGGAGGCCTGTATGGAATTACATTAAATCAGTTAAATGTTATTCAAAAAAAATCTTGAAGTTAATATATAAAAGAGATAGATTGTGTCCCACCATAACTTTATATAATGAAAAAATTAGCAATGTTAGATGTTTATATATTCATGCAGTGTGTTGTTATATACAAAAAAATGAATTTTTAAAAAACCCTTTAGAACATAGACATAACACTAGAACTGCATCAAACACGTGCATTAAAGTACCAAAACCAAATAGTGGGTTTTTAAAAACAGTGTAAAATATCTAGGGACAAAGTTCTATAATGCTCTACCTCTTCATATAAAATTATTAAACAAATATAAAAAATTCTGTAAAGTTAGCAAAATATACATTTTCCAAAATAATGCAAAGTTTATCAGAATATTCCAAGAATAACGACATACTACATGGATTTTTTTAAATAGTTTTTTTTCTGTTTCTTGCATAAATTGTTCAAGTTTTATTTTTTTTATTAATGAAGGAGAAATAAATGTTTTTTTTTTGTTTCCTTCATGATTCATTAAATATAATTAAAATAAATTTTAATTTTTATCAGCACATACAGGTGTTCTCACCTAGGTGCTTGTTATTATATAATTGGTTTCTATTATTGTACTTTATTGTAACATATTTATTATTGTAACTCATTGTAACTTCTAACTATTAAACTATTAGAGATCTTTCTTTTACAAACTTAGCAAATCTTAATGCAAAACTAAATAATGAAAATTTTTCGCCCGTGTATGAGTTAGACAGTACTGATGAAGCTTTTGATATATTCTTTACAATCATTTTATATCATATTGATGTAACTTGTCCCCTTGTCAGAACAAAAATGGTTAAAAACAATACATCAAGGCAATGGGTAAACAAAAATATTATACATACAGGTAATGATCTTATACATTTGTATTGGCTTACTAAAACTTGTGACAGCTCAGAATTGTTAAGAAATTATAAAGATTATGTTCAATTAATAAATGTAACTAAAAAGGATCATTATCAAAAATTGTTAGAAAACAAAAATCCTCAATAAAAACAAAAAATTATATGGAATACAGTACACTCTATAACTGGCAAAAGCAAATCTTTAAAGCCAATACAGATCAATGTTGATGTCATATTAATATCTGACAAAAAAACTGTAGCTATTTTTCAACCATAGCTAGTAACACTGTTAAAAATAATTTTGACAATACAATACAAATTTTCATAACTACACAACCATGCATGTAAAAAATACATTCTTCTACGATGGAACAGATTCCCAAGAAGTAACTGCAGTCATTAGGTACCTAGTTCTTTAAAAAATACTAATGCAATAGGTGTAGATTGTATTACAACTAAAATAATTAAATCTATTGGTCATTATATATCAGAATCAGTTGCATATCTAATCAATGTGTCTGTAAAAAATGACATATTCCCCATTGGTATAGTGTATCACTTATTTTTAAAAAAGGTGATTCAATGGCTCTGGAAAATTATAAACCTACTCTGTAAAATTTTTGAAAAATGTATATATAAAAAAATGTTATAAAAAAATCATTACAGATCAACAACATGGGTTTCTTTCTGATAGGTCAACAGAAAATGCTACTACTGCCTTTTTTAATTATATCCACAATCAGCTGGATAGAAAAAGGTTAGTGGGTGTGCTCTTTTTTGATCTATCTAAAGCTTTTCACACCATTGATTTTTTAATTATTGGAAAGTTAAGTGCTTTAGGTCTTAGGGGCAACTTTTTGCAATGGATTAATTCCTATATATATATTCTCCTAAAATGTCTTTTAGAATCAATGGTTGCTTATCAGAAGTAAAGGATATGGATAGTGGTGTTCCACAGGGATCAGTATTTCATATTTTCCTGTAATTTTCAGGGAGCAATCATTCACCAGTAATTTAGCCTGTTATTCTGGGCTATTTCAATGTTAATTTCCTTTCGTTCGTAACAAGACCAACAGGGTCTTCCCACCAAGTTTTCCTTGACTTGTTATGTTATGTTTGGAATGGGGTGTTAATACACTTGAACCTAAAAAATCCATTGTGCCCCCTTCTGTTGCTTATGCAGCAAGAAAATGCCTTGATGTCTATAATGACTCTTCCACTTCTACCTTCTTAAGGAAGTGTAAGATTTGAAGTGATTTCAAGTTAGTTAAATGATATGATCTTAAGCTCTTACAAATTTGAAATAACATACTTATCTAATAAGATAAAATTTAACATTTTTGAATTAATATCTATAGAAACAGTCCGTATTTTAAAATATATAAACTGATGTTTATGATAAGTGGTAATTGGTAATTACATTCTTTAATTAGTATTTTATAAAATATTGCTACAAAGTTATTTACAGGCATGCACCAAGTGAAGTAATATGTAAACATTTTAAGTACATTTCATGGATTCAGCAAATATTTCAAAATAATTAGTCATTTGTTCAGTTGTTGATTTAATTTTAATTTAATGAAAAGCAGTATTTAAGTTATATATTGGAAACAAACAATATTTGAAATGATGTACCAGCAATACTTCTATAAGTAAAAACTATGTAAAAATGTTCTAAAACCAATAAAATTCAAAACATAAGGTTGTTAAATGTGAAACTTTGTGATATAAAATGTAAAAACATTTAAACAAAGGTTGATATAAATAATTGGCTCAGAAGTTAAGTACACTCCCTAATTGCAATTTAAACTTAATATAATAATATAAAGTATTTTATGCTACATAATAGTCATAATACATTGTATATTATTGTACATAATAAAAATTCCTTCATAATTTTATATTTTTTTAGTATGACCCATTTCGAATTCAAATCAATACCATCTGACACACCCCCCACCAAGAAGTCCCCCATATTTTATCGATTTAGCCACTAATTTATATGTAAAGTACCTTATTTTTAACAAAACCGAAGAACCAATTCAAATAATTATAAATTCACTTACCCAACAAACTGCGCGAAGTATTACTTGGGGTCTTTGCATAAACGAAAGGGGATCAAACGATCCCCCGGCTTTTCCACCACCGTACGCACCACCAGCACCCTCCATGTTTTGATTTTTCTAGTCTTCAAACTTTTGGGGCTACTGCGCTGAATCGAATAACACTCACTTAGCCCAAAAATGGGGAGAACGGGGCAGCGCAAAGCCAGAGAAATCAAAGAATGACAAAAGTGACATCCTCCACTCAAACGTCAAATCATATAAATAACAGATGGAACATAGAATATTGAATTAATTTACATAGAACACATCAATTCTTCTTTTTCTAAGACAAATATATTTTTAACTTGTTTATTGTTTGACAATCTATCCTTATCATTTGTATTTATTCAAAACAAAACAATATTCAAACCATTGAAACTCATACATTTATTCAATAGTTCTTTATAAAATGTCCGGGCCACGATCCGAGTTACAATTCGTAAAACGAACCGTGGATCTAGAGTATATTGCTTGCAACCAACATTATTGAAACTTGATAAATGAGTTGCCTATCCTGTAAGTACCATCGTTATCTGTACAAAGTGTCTAAATAATATAAATCCTCCGATAATTGCTGCGTTTGAGAATCCACATCGGATGCATCTGAGATGTAAAAAATCTTTGATCACGTGGTTCAGTATACGTAAATGTAATGGGACAGATGTGTCCGATGTGGATAAAAAAACGCTCGAGATGTAAAAAATGCATCCGATGTGGATTCTCAAACGCAGCATATATTGCATTATGGTATATTTTTGGTAAAATTTAAGTTAGAATCATCTCGACTTTTTGGGGTGAGATAGTATATAGGGAGATGCAATTTCAAACTTTTTATTCAATAGTAGCTTGATTTTTCGAAATGAATGAAATATTTTATCAAAATTTTGAATTAAAATATCTCAAAAAGCAACCGTATGTAAGAATGACATCGTTTTATGCACTTTGGTACTTATTATACACGAAAATTCAAGATTACAATTTAAATTTTTCCAGAAATAAATATTTACGAAGTTTTCGCGCAATGCAATGAAATTTCCAATGTACGTCATATAATTATGAAAGTAGACGTTGCCACGTTGATACAAAATTCGAGGATCTTAAGAAATATTTTTATAAAAAACTAATGTTTAATTTGAACTCCATATTTTGATATTTTAAATAATTCATTCATTAAACCTATAATAAATAGAATTTTAGAAGCTTTTGGAAGTAGTTTTTCGAATATAAATAAATAGAATAAAAGTAAACAACAAATAAGATTCCGAACACTTTCGTGCTGGTATATAATTGCTTTAACTTAAACGTATAATTTGATTTTTCTTTATAATGCGAAAAAATCCCAGATAGCACAGGACGTCCATTACATGTTCATTTATTGTCTGTACGTCCAGGACCAATTCTGGACATTTTAAATATGTCCAGCTTTGTAAATCCTCAGGACGTCAAGAAATAGATATCTATAGAACGTCAATTATACGTGCTTTATTATATTTCAATGGATTCACATTAAAATTGTATTATTATTTGGTTATATTACATAAACAACATATATAATGAGATAATATAAATAATTAGTAAAGATGGCATTGTCCAAATATCCAATTGAATGAAGGCCAAATAGAAAAAAAACGAAGAAGGTCATTGCAAGAAAGTGACATTTTATTATTTAAACAATGGACGTTCCAAAGATGTCCACGTCCGTGAAATTAACGTTGTAAGGATGTACTGACGTTTTTAAAACGTCCATAAGAAGTATTTGTGATATCTGGGAACGGGTGAGCTTAAATTTGAGACAAGTAATATGCGTGCTTGTTCATTGCATCGGTTCTATTTATAGCCTCGTTTGGCGGCTTGGCTTCAGTTATGCTTAAACGTTATTGGTCACATGTTGACGTTGTTTTATGAAGTTGTTAACAATTTAGAAATCTTAAATGTTTGAATACGATCAGATATAGTCGAATTTAAACAAAGGCTCTATTAGTATCTGAAATATAACCAATGGGGATCAGAAAATTAAATGTTTGCACTATTAGAGTAAGTTGGTGCGCTCTAAAAGTAGGTAGGTATTAAAAAAAAATATTTTTTTAAAAATTATGTATTCTTTATTTATAAGAAAATACATTCAAAATCAAACAAAATCACAGAAGTATAATAAATTAATCATAAATTACCATCAATAAATGGTTAAAGCAAAACATTGAATGCAAATAGGCAATTATAGGTTAATGTTTGTGATTTTTTCAAGAGATTAGCAACGAATTTGAAAAACTAGTTTGGTAACATTTTGTCATTCAAAAGGTACACATTTTTGGTAAAGTACCTATAAATTTATTTATTTTTAACTTGAGTGTTTGTCAAACAGTAAACTGTCATCAGTATAACCAACTATTTCGTTGCCAACTGTACAAAAAAAACAATAATTTCATAAAAATACTTTGCAATTTTTCACTTTGCATATTTTAGTAAATTCATGTTTCATAAAAGAGAAATTTGAGGAGTTAAAAAGTAAAATTTGAAAAACAATTTGCAAAGTGAATAATCTGCAAGGATAACTTTATTATTTTATGAAACACAAGTATTTTGCGCTCGTAAATTATCAAAGTGCAAAGTGAAATGTTGCGAAGTAGTTTTATGAAATAGGTCCCAGGTATTTTACAGTTTCAATAAAGGTGGCGAAAAAGGTCTGGCTATTTTTTATATTCTATATAAAGGATTATCAGACTTGTGTGAAAGAAAAAGTCTAGAAACCAACAGGAGTTTCCACTATTTTCTTTAAGGGGAACTTAAAAGATTTACGCAGAAAAAAATGCTCATTAAATGAGATTGAAATGATTTTCTTAATCGGAAACGTGGAGAAAATAGTTAAAAGGGGAAAAAATGAAAAATGTACTATTTGAAAACTAAAATAAAATATGTTTGACGTATTTTTAAAGTATTGTTAAAATATTTCTATTTCTGGTATATAAATCTGAGGTTCTCTTTTTTAGCAGCTCGACAGGACCTGGTTTCATAAACAAAGGTCCGAAATTTCATAAAAGTGGGAATTTTGAAGGTATATGGAGGGAAAAATCTTATAGTGGACTTTATTTGTTGCGCTAGGTGTAAGTTTTCTGCACTAATCGCATTTGGTTTGTTCAGTGTAGCTTTAAATATTTGACACATACTTGAGTAAAGCATATACTTTTGGCAAGTATGACAGTTCGAATACAGTACCGAGTGTGACACGAGTGCATCAAATAATATCTATTATTTTTTCAAGGTCGGCAACACTGATGCGCCCACAGGGTTGCCATATCTAAACTGTCAGTTTTCAGTGGCAGCATTTTGCCTAATACCTAATTGATCATAAGTGACATTCACATATTCACATCCAATGTTCTGTATTAAGAATAATTTAATATTTGATTTTATAATTGACAGTTAACCTATAACCCTAGGTAGGTACCAGAACTAAAAATGGCGGCCAGTAAAATAACAACTTCTTTCTTATAGTACAATCAAGTAGATTTTGGAGGAAATACAGGAATTTTTGGTATAAGTCACTTTAGAGTATTTGAAAACGATATGTAAAAAAAATTCATTTTTTAGACCCCGGCAAGTGGCGAAAAACAAGAAAATAAAGTGTTTTTTAAGGTTATTTAAAAAAGCATAAAGTTTTACATAAAAATGATATATAGCATTTTTGGTTATTATTAAAACTAACAGAGTTAGAGTGGTTAGAAGTTAAGAGAAAATATTTTTGACTTTAAAAAATTATAGCTGACATCTTTATTTTTTAAATACCAACATAGGTCATGTGATATACCATTTGAAAGGATTTAACACACTGATTATAAAAATGTAACACACATGGGGTCTAAACACAACAGAAAGGATATTTAGCTCCCTATTAATAATATCCTTCTTGTTGTGTTTAGATCCCATATGTGATACATTTTTGTAATCAGGGTGTTAAACCCTTTCAAATGGTATATCACATGACCTATGTTGCTATTTAAAAAAATCAAGATGGCGAAAATGCTAAATGTAATTATAAAAAAAATAATTTTTGGATTAAAATATGCGCAAATATATTTAGTTGAAATTCTGAAATTATGGGTTTTGTATGTTGAACCGTTTAAGCACTATAGGTTTGGTTCCATCTTTAACAGCTACGCTGTATATACAATGTGTCTACTTAAGTTGGAACCACATGGAAAACTTTTTTATTATTGGTTTTGTGAAAAAATTTATTCTTGTAAAAAAAATTTGCAGGGTTCAAAACTTTAAATACAACCATCAGATATCATTTATTCTAAGCCGTATACGAGGTTTGTCAAAAAATATGAATTTTGCTGAAGAGTAAAGTCCTTTATTTTTGACAAACCTCGTATACGACTAATAAAATTTGATATCTGATAATTGTATTTTAGGTTTTAGACCATGCTCGATTTTTTATGAAGAATAACTTTTTTCCCTAATATTATTAATAAAGTTTTTCATATGCTGCCAACTTACGTAGACAGTTGGTGACATGTGAGAAACTTTTTTATTATTAATATTAGGAAAAAAGTTATTCTTCATAAAAAGTCGAACATGGTCTAAAACATAAAATAAAATCATCAGATATCAAATTTTATTAGTCGTATACGAGGTTTGTCAAATATAAAGGACTTTACTCTTCAACAAATTTCATATTGTTCATTTTGTTCATTTTAAATTATTTTTTATGTTTTTGTTTGTTTTCTTATTAATTATATTCATTTTTGTTTATTTCTATTTATTTTTATTTACTTTTATTAATTTTTATTAATTTTAATTTAGTTTTATTTATTTTTTTATTAATTTTGTTCATTTTTATTTATTTCTATTTATTTTTGTTTAGTTTTATTTATTTTTATTTTTTTATTAATTTTTTTGTATTATTTTTATTTATTTTTTATTTGTATTTGCTTTCTTTTATTTTTTTTGTTTTAATTATTTTTATTTAATTTTAAAAATTTTTATTTTTATTTATTTTATTTTTGTTTAAAATAATTTACCTATTTTTATTTATTTTATTTTTTATTATCTTAGTTTATTTTAATTTTTTTTTAATAATTTTTATTTATTTAATGGAACTTCAAGTGGGGACTAAACAGTCGCGATGTCGTTTTATTAGTTCACTTCTCATATTTTTCATGTCAGTCATCCATAATAAATTTATTTCAAAATTTATTTTACCATTATGTATAATATATTGAAAATTTATAAATTAAAATTGTAAACTTTAAAAAAGAAAAAAAAAATTTTACTCCGTATATAAAAAAAGAAACTAAAAAAAATAATTTTACTGGGTATATAATAAAAATAAATTAAAAAATCATTGAATTTTCAACTCGCTATGATTTTTTAAAACCAAATATATTTTCTCTTAACTTTTAACCACCCTAACTCTGTTAGTTTTAATAATAGCCAAAAATGCTAAATATCTTTTTTATGTAAAACTTTATGCTTTACAATTTTTATTCAGAACTTTTTTTATAACACCAACCGTTTTTAAATAACCTCAAAAAAATACTTTATTTTCTTGTTTTTCGCCACTTACCGGGGCCTGAAAAACATCATTTTTTTACATATCGTTTTCAAATACTCTTATATTAAAAATTCCTTTATTTCCTTCAAAATTTTGATTTAAACGTCTATTTGAATGGACTATTAGTCAGTTTGCTGTTGGAAATGCTTAAATGAAGGTAGAAAAAATATTTTTTTAGTCAGAGCGAGTTAATAAATCTAGGAAAAATAGCACTAAATTCCAATATAAAAAGGGAGCCTTATAGACATTCACTTACTATTAATCAGTACATTTGTCCTCAAAAAAATATGATGCTGTACAAGATTTAAAAATAAAATTACCCTTTTTAGTCTGCAATGTACTGTTGCTCAAATATTTATCAAAAACCATTAAATAGTTTGATATACATTGATTAAACTGAATAGATCCGATACAGATTCAACAGTTCTGGCGCCTACGGTATATTTGCAGCTTTGTATTCATCAAAAATTATTCCTAGCATTCCTAAACGTTCTTCCTTCTTTCGTGTCTTCCAGACAAGGCACTTGAACCAAATTGAAATAAATGTTCCCCATTAACTGAGCCGTATTCGAGGAATTCGCCTTTTTTAAACAGTTATATAGATCATCGTCGCATTTACAATGCGACTTTGTGTATAACGAATTATTCGTTAAGTTATATTTTTTCGAATAGGCTCTAATTTTAACTGGACATAGATCGTGGGCGCGGCAACATGTATCTACAATTTTTTCTATACCTAAATCGTAATAGTCTTTAGCGATGTCGCCAGTTCCACACCATTTGGTACCTACAACAAAAATCAGGTAGTGTAAGTTAACTGTTAATTTTTAAACCTAAAAAAAAAATAAATTACCCATAAAATTACTCTTGCTATATTAGAAAAATTTAATTTGTTGCTACTGGGGCACTGGATGACAATTTTACATCAAAATTCTTCTCCTTCAAATTAAAACCTTTTTAAATAGTTATTGTTATTTATAAGTTTCTAGGGAGGAGAGTCAATGTAATTATTTACAGTAGGTACATAAATAGGTACAATTTCAGGCTTTTCTAATTGGGAATTGGGATAATTTTTTTATTGTATCTCATAGCAATTTGGGAAATCCAATTTTTTACATTAGTTAATTATATCTGACTATACCAGTTTAACAATATCACTATCATTAACATCAATGATGTTTTTTATCTCAGTTTCAGAAACGTTTGTCCATATACCTATTGTACAAATTTATTTTGTTAAATCTCACCTGGAATGATTCCACTTAGTAAAGTAAAGGGATTAGATAATTTTCTTCCTTGGCTTGCAGCTAGTGTGTCGTTTTTTAAAAGTTCTCTATTCTTAATGGTCCTTCTTTCTTCCAGTTGTTTGCATTGGCCCATCAATGTAACCATTTCCATAAATGATATTCCTACTGGTCGCGCGTGCGCTTTCAATTCACCCAGAACTTCGAAAAGTTGATTTTGTTCTCTATAACAGGTAAATAAAAGATTAAAAATGGTAACTCTAGTTGAATTTCTGTAAAAGATTAGGATTTATTTTTATAATAGAAAACTTCAAGTATACACTATACTACAGTAAAATTTAATTAGAGATAGTTGTATCACCATAAATGAGGCAAAGTTTGATGTTATACAAAGGCGTACATACATTTTTTGATTTATATATCTGTTCAGATTCCCTAAACAGAGTAAACTAATATTTTTCCATCTATTCCCCACTTGTGTTTTTACTTTGAAAACAGTACTCATGGTGACATCTGTCCACCAAAAAAGAGACTGCATGTGGTCAAGTTATCGATTTTAAAATATCATAACCATTAATTTGTCGCAATCATTTATTGAAAATGATGCACCTTCAGTACTATCTGAGAGTCATCTCAAATTTGAGCGCACCTCATTCCCTTGATTGTCAAGCTTTCGATTCGAACAAAAAACTATTGAAAAGTGTATTTATTTAGGTATTAATGCGACCATCCGTACGCGAAATAAAAGCAATGCAAACACATGTCTCACTTTAGGACGCTTTACGTTTGAGGAAGTTTATGTATAGAACCTAGGAACCTACCTATCTACAGCACCTAAGGTACTTAGGTACATTTTAGTAGTTTCCTTAGCTAAAAACAAACATTTTTAGGATCAAGTTTAATTTTCCAAAAGGACCCTAAGAACAAAAATATTGACTAGTCAAAATATCTATTACACACGATATAATCTTTATAAAACAGCTAAATATTTTTCTTGTTGATGACTTTTTTATTGAAACTTTTTGACTAGAATAGATTATTAGGTGTTTTTTCTTTTTCAGCTTGTGTTTCGGTTTTGCAGTGGCGTAGATTTTTCGTGTAAAGGTAGGAGAATAAATGCATTCTAAGAAAAGTCAAAAAAGAACCAAAAAGTAAAAAATAGTTAAAAGAATCCAAAGAATATCCAAAACTTTTCAAAAAAGGTCCTCTGCGCGTTCAATATTTCGCGAACAAAAATAATTTCAGTCATGGAGCTAAAAAAATGGAAGAGGAACATGTAGAACCAAGAATTTTGGCTCCAAAAATCAATATCAGTTCTCTACCTTGGATTTTGGATTGTGAACAGTAGTATAGAAGTTTTTAATCTAATTTGCTTCGTCCTATCTCTATGAATGCTGATTTTGGGCAGCAATGTCTCCTTCTTGTCATAAAAACGGCTTTACTCTCTTTATTTTACTTACGTTTAAATATAATTAAGAGTCTCATCTTTATTCATCGAAATTCTTAGATCAACATACTGTATACAGGGTAATTAAAGGGTACTTAAATATGCGTTAGGGGGCGTCCATTAATTACGTGAGGTATTTTTGAGGATTTTTTGACTCCCTTCCCCCCTCCCCTAATCTCACGTCAGATTTTTTCAAAATTTGTGTTTTGGGTGTTGAATTATTAAAAAATCAAAAACATAATATGTTTTATTACTTTTATTTAATACTACCAAAGATTAGTATTTGAGAATATTGCCGTAATTTAAAATCACAGTGATAAAAGTAAATAAATACTTAAACGAAAATTAATACAAGATTTTACAATTTTGTACTAGGAAAAAAATTGCTTCAGATTTACAAAGACCCCTCTCTCCCCCAAGTGAGATTAGGATAGATTTAGCTTGATCCCCTTCCCACCTTGAACATTTCACATAATTAATATATTATATTCTTTGAAGCACCCTGTATAGCGTCGTATTTTTAAATAATGATCATGGTCATAATTTCCAGACTTTCTATCTCTACCCACTACTGCATTATAAGATTAATAATTAACTATCTGAATGATTTTGTAAGATATAATAATATTATTTAAGATAGTCAAAATGGACATCATAAAAATAAATCTAACTACTGTACATACCTACTATAAAAGAATTTTAAACAGCAATTATTTATTCATACCTCATTGATATTTGCCTACTTTTCCTCATGTTTTATTAACTACGATGATAACAAAAGTAGCCGCTTAACAATATAAAATTACATGTTCCTTTTTTAATCAATTAAAAAATTACCTAATGTTCTAAACAAAGAAAAACTATAAAATTGATAATTGTTTTACTTTTAAATATGCTAAAGTAATTGATAATACTTTAATTATATCTGACAATGAGTTAATGTATTTCAAATAACATTTGTGTCGTAGTAAAGTGACTTTATTGGAAAATTTAGTAGTTATATAGGTACTTATTAGTACCTCAATTATTGTTTTATTGAAGAATTGAAAAAAATCCTAACTTAAAAACAAAAAAACGACTAAAATTGAAATCTTCAGGAAAAAGGAATGAAGCATAGATTTTGAAAAAAATTTGAATGAAGATGGGGGTGAAGGGAGGGTATGTTAAACTGTGAAGAAGATAATATAGAACGCCAAGCATTATACGAGGTGTTCTTAAACATCGTGCACATACGGAAAGCGGTAATTCTTTGACTTGTTCATTTAAACATAGGTCCGCTTCGTTATCGATTTACAGGGTGTTGAAATTTCAAGATTTTTCTTGTTTTCTCTTTTTCTCCTGCAGTTTTTGAGATATTTAGCTGAAATTTGGAATGCAATAAGGGTAGGATGGGGCCATTTTCAACATTTGTTGTAATGTAGTTTAATAGTTATTATTTAGGTTCTTTGTATTGTAAAATAAATCAATTGTACAGAACGATTTTTTTTTGATAACGGTCGCAGAAACGAAAAGAGTTTTTGAACATAAAAAAATTTCTAAACAAAACAGAAAATTCATTTTGTATTTTAATATCTACCAGCGGCGCACAGCAAAAAAGTTCAGGGGGAGAAAAAAGAACACGACTCCTGAAAAAATATCACCTTGGAGATTCAACAACCATCTGACATACTCAAATAATGCATGCCCTATAACGCAATCTAGATTCGAAATTTGAGTTAAATATATCAAAAACTACAGGAGTATTGACAAAACTATGCCATCTATTGGTGTATTCATAGATTTAGCAAAGGATTTTGATACCATTAATCATAACATCCTTCTTAATATATTTTATGGTATAAGGGGTATTCCACATGAACTTTTTAATAATTACTTAAGAAATAGAAAATAAAAAATGAAAATAGGTGACAAAAACTATTACTTGTGAAGTACCACAAGACACTGTGCTAGGGCCTATTTTTTTTAATATATATTTAAATAATCCATTCCTCGTAGAGACAAATTGCAAAATAACCAGTTTTGCTGATGATACGGTATTGTTTTATGAAGATAATAATTGGTATACCATAAAGATAAAATTAGAACAAGATTTAGAAAAAATACAGATGTGGTTTGATCATAAGCTCTTGTCATTAACTTTAAAAAAAAAACAAATCTTATTGTCGGAAATACGTTTAGCATTATTTGTTTGTTTAAGAATCAATGTTTAAGTTTTGGGCAGTTTAAATAAACATGTATAATTATAAATGTCTTTTTTTTAGTCTAATAACATTTTAGAAAAAAAAGCTAGAATACATTTTTGTAATTTTACTATTTCTAAAAGATTTCAAATTTTTATTTCCGAAATATTACTGTAAAATATTATATTTACAGGACATTTTTATGTTTCAGGCACATTTCAGACTTGTTTCTGGGATGTTTGGTAATATTTATACAACATAACAAATGTTCCAATGAAATATTTTTGAAATATTTCCGAAATTAATGTTCCACCTTGGTATGGAACGACTTTTCTGGTAAAAGATAGTTTTTCTGGTCGACCTAACCCTCTCCAAACTCTATGTCGCCAACTATCATTGATTAAACCATATCTGGTTTCGTCCGAAAAAAGAACATTTCGCCATTGAGGTAAAAGCAAGTCTCTGTGTCCACTGTAGTCGAGCAGCTATATGTCTGGGACGTAACCTGGGTACACTTAATGTTCTCCTAGATCGTAAATTGGCTCTAGCAAGTCTCCGCCGTATTGTAGTACCGGAAATGAATCGACCATACGTTCTTCTAAAATGAGCTCGGACAGCTCAGACTGTTATGGTTCGATTCCGACATACAAAAGCTGCTACACACCGATCTTCTCTTTGATTAGTTCCCCTAAAACGTCCAGTCCCACGTTTCCAGTCAAGGCTATTAGTTTCCTGGTATAAACGCGCACTATTCGGATAACTAAAATGCGGGGAATCTCTAGTCTATCCGCGATTCGATGATTCGGCAAACCCTCATCATGCAAAGCCACTATTCTTGCTCAATTGAACACTGAAATTCTGTTGCCAAGCATAGTTGCAAAGAAAAACTCAACAACCACTTACACATGCTAAATCGATATGAACCACTTTTTAAACATTGGAATTTAAAATTGTAGGAAATTGTTTTTGTAAACATTTTTAGATGAATAGCAATGGTGAAATAAATAAAAATTAAATGTACAAAAAAGCAGCCATGATAAATGTTGTATATTGTAAATATTACTGATACGTCACTGGGATATTTATTTATTTCTTGTGTTGATTTGTTATCGCCCAGGTAGTATATCGATGGATATGTTCAATATTAGAAAAACATCATTCTTGTATTAACGGTTAATTAATAAAGAAAAATAATACTTAAGGTGGTGAGTTTGATTCTTCCAAATTGAAGGCTTGAAGTGTTATATAAACTTCACATTAAAGACAATATAACAATAAATATTTTATTTTAACATTTACGAGAAGGGTCCAAGAATTTTGACGATGTGTGTAGCTACATTGATTTCCCGACTAATTTCTTTAATTTCTTACAATTTGTAATTTACTCATCACAAGGACTTGTTCTTCTGATTACGACCTTTCTCTTGATTATGACTAATATCCTATTATGACCTTTTCCAATTATTACATTATATAAATAATATAATTTTATTATTATTATTATTATTAACATTTTGTCTAAGATACAAAAAACCAATTGGGCGTCTTAATTATTCATTAGGTTATATTATATAATTAATTTCTGATTAAAAAAGATTTAATATTGATTTTTAGTAATACCTACCACGTACAAGCTGTCTACAACAGCTTCTATGTAGTTCATGTTTATTTACTTATCTTTAAATTACATTTTTATACACTGTATTTATTTTATGTGAATCAACATCATTATTATTAGTATTTTCCAATTACTTTCGATATTAATGACAAAATTGTCTGTTTAACTAAATTTTTTAATAAAATTTTATAATTCATTACTAATTGAAAAAATGTAAGAAATACAATTTTTGTTATTTGCAAAACATACTAAACATTTTAATATTGGCACAAATTCTCAATTAAGTAAACACTATGAAGACTAGATATTCTAAACAGTAACTGCTATTTAGTATGACATTGATAACTAGTATGTTATAGATCACGTGAAAGGAATTAATTAAAGTAAATACCTACCTAAATAAAATATTTGTTTTTACTAAGAAACGCGGATATTATTGACATTCACTACGTGCATTTTTGTAAATTTGAATTCTTATCTTGTCTAGTGACTATGTGGGATAAAATTATATTTAACTATACTGTGATATTCGTTAATCAACAAAGGGAAACTGAGCCCATTATTTTGAAAGTGGCTTAACTCCATTTGTACTTAAATTGAGATATATAAGGGGTTCTTTAAATTTTATTTAACTGATTATTCAACTAATGCAATTGTCTAAAAACTGAGGTTAACTTGTTGAATCTAATTAAATAAAATTACCTTCATCATTGTCTTCGGACATTATCGATAATGAATATCTTAATTTAAATATAAATGAATGATGTAATATTTCCAAAACACAAAAAAGGATAAAATATAATTATATATAATTAATTGTTTTAATTCTTGTTTAATTGTTAATAAGGTGTAACTTTTGTACTTTTAATAGATTTTAAGTTCCTTGATTATTAATTATTGTATTATTGTAATTTGTGTGAAATTGTAAGTTTAGATTCGTTTTAACAACATTAGCTCTGGCCAATTGATCTGAGATCAAGACCATCAAACAAACCACACAAACACACACAAAAAGGGTGTACCGTATCAATGTTTTCGTCTCATATCTTCTGAGCTTACCAGAAAAGATAAATTAAGCAATTATGATTTAGTATCTATATTATTTATTAAAACAAATTCTATTGTCTTTTTCAACAAATATTTTTTTTTTAAAAATGATAATTGAATTTTTCTTTATATTCACATACTAAATTAACATCCTGTATATGAAATAAATTCTATTTAATTAAAATGTTTATTTTCATATGCAGGTACTATAAACTATTCCAATTTCATTTCAAGTCCAATGTATATCGTAATAACAAAAATGCTGAATTGTTATTTTAAAATCATTTCAGAACATTGAACTGGGATCGAAATTCAAATAATAATACTGTCATGAAATTCCTAAAGCCTACCCTGTGTAAGCGCGACCTTCGAAGTCTGCCACTCGATTCATGATCGAAGCAACGCTGACGTGTGAAGACAGTCGAACCGCGTCTCGAATATACAAGAAACGACGAAATCTAGGTATGCCACTGACGCTTCGAGAAACTGCCATTGAGTCATAGAGATGGAATTTTCGGGAGCGTCTACTAGAAACTACGCGCACAGAATTGGCTTGGTATAAATAGCCGATGTATCGGTGCACAGTTTTAGTTAAGTTTAAAATGAGATAAATGAAAACCATCTTGTGGTATTAATTACAAAATTTGCGTAAATTTATCAGAAGAATACAATTTACTTAACAATTCTAACTTGTTAACGCATTTTAAAGCATACGACTCTGAAGAAAAGGTGTTTGGCAATTTAAAATCTCCCAGCGAAAAATTTCTCTTTTATATTTTCAAATTAGAAAAAATATTTATATCTCTATTTGATAGTTTGTCAACTAAACCTGGATTTTCCAACGCATACCTTTTTGAGATGAGTAAAATAGAATTTGATCATCCTTGCCAACAATTTGCGAAAATGTACACCGTTAAATTATTTATAAGACTCAGAATTTTTTATACTCTTAAATATGCAAACAGAGATTTGAAATCCTCGAAAAAGTCAGACAAAACCAAAAGAAAATTTAAAATTTTGTCCCATTTATAAATATCATATTTTTGACTACTTTATAAAAAAAGTTATTTTTCTTTGTAGTTTTATTTCTTAACTATTCCAATGGTTCAACTAACGTTTTTTCGTAATCACAATAAATAAATATTATTATCATGGTCCAACAAACGCGCACCTTAAGCCGAAACCGGCATCGCCTTTGTGAGGGAGCCGGTAAAAATGCCGCCGCGTACATTCGTATCTGGTCTAGGTAATTTATGCCATGGGTACAGCACGTCACGATGAGGACAGCGCCCCGCTTGTGACGTATAATCCATCGCATGTGTTCATCTCTTGCTAAGCAATATTGTCGTTGTCCTTGATTTTTGCATCATAATGAGAGAGAAAACAACAAAGGCACACATTTACTGTGCCCTGTGCATCTTCCACTTAATTTCGGAATTCTCGGAACGTCGCTCAACGCCCGGTCGTCCAGTGTCGTGCCAACGCGGTTTGCACTGAATATTAAATAAAAGAATAATAGGTATTGAGGAAAATATAAAATATGTAAGTTATTTTTGTTTTGTTTATTATACTAGGGGACGTGCGCAAGTGCCTTTATGGGCAAACCGCCACTGGTCATGTGTTGGACACATCAAATTTTTAGTTTTTCTAAGGTTTGTTTCAACAACGATCAAAAACGAGTCACTGACACCAGGATATGCAGAATCCTGTTGTTACTGAATGGTTTCTAATTGCTAGAACAGACTTGATAGAAAATATGACGAATTTTTTCAGCCTATATAATTTTCTCATTTTTATTAACTTTTACTTTTTCTTTAGGTTCAACTTTAACCAAATTCATTCATTAACATATTTTCTAATTTTCAGTAACTTTTACCTGTATCGTTAATAAGTATATTAGTAATTATGTTAATTTTGTTTTATCAATAATTTTTATTAGTATTTTAATTACTAATAATTGGTAATTATTTTGTTAATGATTTTTTATTCCCACAAATTTCCTTCCAATTTATTTAATATAGTTTACCACGTATTATCTTTCTCCATTAGATTGCCAGATGAAGAAATAATATAACTTCTAAACTATTACATGTTTGAATTCAGAAGATATTAATTAGAAGCATATATATGCTAGGATTCTGGGAAATATTCTATAAGCTATAGAATCTGTAAGATATAGTTATGTAATGTAGTTTTTTTACAGATTTTGGCTTGCAGACCTTATAAATTGTCTCAGAATCGATCTATTAAGATTTAAGTAAAGTACTTACACAATTTCAATTAGTTCACAATTCAACAATAATTTATTGGGTCCCAACTCCACCACAGCAACAGTTTGATCATTAAAATACACCATCCTTATAGAATTATTGTCGATTCTCTTCCCGGTGTAATTTTTCAGTAAAATAGGCGACTCGCCACTTTGCTGTTGGCCAAAGACGCCGATAGTGGGAAGATGAAACGGGAAAGAGGGTTTCCCGCTGCTTCCGATAACGCACAAGACAAACAGTAACACAAACATAACCACATTGCAACTTTTTGACAACGGCAGCATTTTTGAAATTGTCTATTCGGTCGCAACAGTAACGATTCCGTCAGAATTTTTGTTTACATCATTTTGATTTATTTTTTTTAAAGTCACGCGTTGATTGATAAATGTCACATTTTTAGCGTCAATTCGATTTTGATGAACATCCGTAGGTGCTTCGAGGAGCTTCTGACGGAGTCGCCGACAGACTAAACGGAAATCCACTCGATTATGAGCCACGCCGGATTTTCTAGGTCAGTAAAAGAAAACTTTTCAATACCTATTGTAAGTATACTCGTTCGGAATTGTGAAACGATTAGCGGCTTGATCGCGCGACTTAATGAACGTATTTGTTTATGGCGAACATGTTGCCGATATCTAATTTGATGTCTATTCCAGAAAAACAACTTTCTTTGTTACTTGTACATTTACACGCAGAAAAATTCTTTTTTTTACTATCTAGCATTAGAAGATATTTCAGTAACTAAGTATAAGTATGTTTGAACATATTTTAACGGTTTTTTATTTAAAAAAATAATATACAAGGTGGCCAACAAGATTTTGACCGGCGCGTGTCCCATAGATTTTTGACTCGATAATATTTAAGTTATTTGACAAAAAAAAAATAAAAAATCAACAAGATGAGCTCAAATTATTCCTTTGTCGAACTACCCCTAACATTGTAACATTTACTAGTATTTTTCAAATAGCACAGGTACTTGATTGGATTTTGCAATAATTTGTTATAAAAAACAGATGTGGCAAGCTAAAAATGTGAAAATAAAAGTCATTTAAGTTGAAGGTTTATTTTCTAAATCTGAAAATAATAGTAAACCTATAGAAACTGGTGAATTTACAGATTTTAGGGATTAAAGGGTTTCAATTTATTTAAATTATGTATGGTTGATTTGTAGTTCCCAGACCCAGACGCGAACCAAAACGATTTTGAAAATTTATAAAATTAAACTAGGTAAAAAAATTATTATATCTTTTAAATACTCTCAATTTTTTTAAACCCCCTCCTAGTAGAAAATTCTAGCTGCGCCACTGAGTGGTAGGTATATATTTTTTAAGTTTAACTTAAAAATTATTCTCAACTAAACCAGGTAGATAAAATAATTCTAACTTTTCTATTTATTTAATTTAAAAGGATTATATTGAACTTTGGATTATTTTTTTTAATCCAATGTATAAAAAGTAGCGTTGCATAATCGAATTTGTAACTCGTGGCAGTTGCACTTAAGAAAGTGACTCACCTTGACCAAATAAGACAGCAGTTGTACCCATATATTATAAAACAAAGACCATTAATAAAATAAGTCTAACAAATCGACTGTTAATAGTAAAATTATTCAGTCTTCCTTAATAACGTGTGAGGTCGTTCATTATTTTAAAATTTTAATGGCCATAATTGAATAATTACAAAAACTATTAAAAACCAATTATTTTATATATACAAAAGGTCTTACTGAACTTAACAAAAAACAGGTCTACGAGTGTGTAACAAAAAAAATCCTCGTTTTTCTACCGAGCCTCTAAAAAAAAAAAACTTTTAGCCTGTATATTTTTGTACGAGCCAGGTTCCTTTCAAAGATATCAAAGAGTAAAACAGGACATATGCCGTAAAAAAAGACATTTTCAGCAAGGACATTTTGCTTGAAACAAGTATTAGAAATTAAAAATTTTAAAAAACCGACTTCAAAAACGTGCAGATGCCATTACCACATCTTTTTTATATGGGACTACCCCTGAGGTACCCCCTACTAACAAAAAAAGAATCATATAAATCAGACAAGGTGGTAAAGCATTATCGCTAAACATACATAAAAAATGAAAAGTTTGAGGATGTTCTCATGGACCCAATTATTAGATTTTGACCAAATTTATATGGGACCACCCCTGAAGTACCCCCTTTCTAACAAAAAAAGAATCATTGAAATCGGACACCGTGTTAAAGAATTATCGCTGTACAAACAAAAAAAAATATTGCGACGAATTGAAAACCTCCTCCTTTTTTGAAGTCTGTTAAAAAGGACTGTACTTTTCGAATAAGGACAGGTGGCAACCCTAATTGTGTGTGGTCCTATTTGAATCCTTGAAGCTAATTTTCAAATTTTAACAATAAATATATAAAAATGTATTTTATTAGATTCTTTCGTTCACCGGTGTGAAATTAGCAGTAACTTTTAGCAATAAAAATAACCGGAAACACCCAATCTAAACAGTGGCGTCCGATATACAACCATTTCATTAATCTTGTCCAATATGTATCTTACACATTAATATCGACTTTCCTGTACAAATAATTAATATACGGTTGAAAATCACCCTTAAAATTGATGAACATATTTATTCTATCAAACCAATCAGATCCAACTTGACTTTACATAATCATGGTAGATGCTCTAGACATATGTGGTGACTATAGGAGAGTTTCATCTGTCACCTGTCAATTATCACTTTTTTATGACGTTTTGAAAATTTCGTTATCGTTTTTCGACGGTTATAAGCAAACATTCCTTCGGTTCCGTCGAACGGGGTAAAATTAGCCCTTACAATTAAAAATATAATTATGATATAAAGACGACTAGATCCCAACTTGCTTTAATATTTAAAAAATCAAAAATAGACTTATAGCCCAATCGGATTAGTATTTTAGATTCTGAAAAATTCGAAGCAGCAATTTTCCTTCGGAATTCGTTGGAGGGGGTCTCTGGTAGTCTAAATTCAAAAAGTTGGGATTCCAAAGTTGTCGTTACCTCCGCCATCTTGATTTAAAGGGTTATTTTTTGTATCTTGAATACGATCGATTTTTTTCGATTTATACCCGAAAAGAGGGGGTGAATTTTTGGTTATAGAATAACTCGTTTATTTTCAATTTTACGAGAAAAATTGTTATAAACAAAGTTGTTTAAAATTAAATTTCCTACAATTCTGTTTTTTTTTGTACGATCGATTTTTTTGTATTTATCCCTGAGAAGAGTGGGGGTGAACCTAAGTATTGTATTGTCACGTTTATTATTGATGTTGTACCATTATTTTTTCTGTTTGTTTTTTTTTGCTGATTTTTAAAAATGTTATTTGGTACAATTATGATTCCGATTTTTTCTAAAGTTTATATTGTTGGGTCGCACGTTCACGGTAAAGGAAAAGAGGGGTGTAAATAATCAGTTTATCGAACAGTATAATTTTTACAATTGAAAAAATGAAATTTATTTTCTTTTCAGTACACTTTTAAAAGTCTATCGAAACGTCAATGACGTCTGTTTGGAACGTTTAGCCGATGGCTCGGCCAAGTTTTCGTGATAATACAATGATAAGAGTTTACCCCCACTCTTCTCAGGGATAAATACAAAAAAATCGAGCGTACAAAAAAAACAGAATTGTAGGAAATTTAATTTTAAACAACATTGTTTATAACAATTTTTCTCGTAAAATTGAAAATAAACGAGTTATTCTATAACCAAAAATTCACCCCCTCTTTTCGGGTATAAATCGAAAAAAATCGATCGTACAAAAAAAAAGCAGAATTGTAGGAAATTTAATTTTAAATAACTTTTGTAAAAACTATTTTCCGTGTAAAATTGAAAATAAATGAGTTATTCAAGATACAAAAAATAACCCTTTAAATCAAGCTGGCGGAGGTAACGACAACTTTGGAATCCCAACTTTTTGAAATTAGACTACCTCAGACCCCCTCCAACGAATTCCGAAGGAAAATTGCTGCTTCGATTTTTTCAGAATCTCAAGCCTGTTCTTCACCTAATCCGATTGGGCTATTACTAACATACAATTTAAGCAAAAATCCCTTCAGACCAGTCAAACAGAGTAAAATTAACCCTTAAAAATTTCAAAGATAATTACCCTATAGAAGGAATAAATTTTCTACTTACTTTTACATTAAAAACTAATAAAAGAACTTAAAATCCCTTTGGACTAGTCTAACAAGGTCATAATTATTCAGTCCAGTGTTGCCAATCGCCAAATTTTATCCGAATTTCTGTTTTTTTACTCTAGCGGATTTTTTGGATTTTAATTTATTGGGGATTTTTTAAAATTTTCTTTAATTTGGGATTTAATTCGAAATATCTCTTTTCTATTAATTTTTATCTAAACAATTTTAAGTTTAATGTTTGTTTTATTTTTTTTTGAGTTTTTTTCTTTTGCAGCCGTTTTCCTGAACTTTATTATTTGATAAATAATTTTGGGGAGTGTTCTAACCCCTGAAACCCGCCCCTTAAATAGGGCCTTGCGGGACCCCCATGCGCCGTGCGGCTTGCGGGGGCCTTTTGCTGCCACTGCCCAACAAGGTGAAATTAATACTTATAATTAAAAATAAATATTATTTTACATTTGAAATATCATAAATACAGTTAACAAAGAACACTAAGCGAAAATCACTTCACAGGGTGAAATTAACCCTTAAACTTCAAAATAAATATTTACCCAATGAAGACGATCAGATCCCAACTTGGTTTTACATTTAAAAAATCATAAATATACTCAGCAAAGTACCCTGTAATCAAAAATCCCTTCGGACCCGTCAAACAGTGAAATTAACTCTTAAACTCCATAATTAATTAATTTTTTTGATGTACAAAGGTTAATTTCACCCTGTTTGACGGGTCTGAATGGATTTTCGATAACAGTGTTCTTTGGTAAGTGTATTTATGATTTTTTAAAGAAAAAACCAAATTGGGAACTGATCGTCTTCATTGGGTCCGAAGGGATTTTCGAATGCAGTGTAATTTTGTTAGTGTATTTATTATTTTTTAAAGGTAAAAGGAAGTTGGGATCTGATTGTCTTCATTAAGCAATAATTTATTTTAAAGTTTAAGCGTTAATTTCACCCTATTTATCGAGGCCGATGACATTTTCGAATGTAGTGTACTTTTATGGGGGTATTTATGATTTTTTAAAGGTAAAACCAAATTGGGAACTGATCGTATTCATTGGGTAATTATTTATTTTGAAGTTTAAGGGTTAATTTCACCCTATTTGACGAGTCCGAAGGGATTTTCGAATGCAGTGTAATTTTGTTAGTGTATTTATGATTTTTTAAAGGTAAAAGGAAGTTGGGATCTGATTGTCTTCATTAGGCAATAATTTATTTTGAAGTTTAAGGGTTAATTTCACCCTATTTAACGAGTCCGGAGGGATTTTCGAATGCAGTGTAATTTTGTTAGTGTATTTATGATTTTTTAAAGGTAAAACCAAATTATGAACTGATCGTCTTCATTGGGTAATTATTTATTTTGAAGTTTAAGGGTTAATTTCACCCTATTTGACGAGTCCGAAGGGATTTTCAAATGCAGTGAATTTTGTTAGTGTATTTATTATTTTTTAAAGGTAAAAGGAAGTTGGGATCTGATTGTCTTCATTAGGCAATAATTTATTTTGAAGTTTAAGGGTTAATTTCACCCTATTTAACGAGTCCGATGGGATTTTCGAATGCAGTGTACTTTTATGGATGTATTTATGATTTTTTGAAGGTAAAACCAAATTGGGAACTGATCGTCTTCATTGGGTAATTATTTATTTTGAAGTTTAAGGGTTAATTTCACCCTATTTGACGATTCCGAAGAGATTTTCGAATGCAGTGTACTTTTGTTAGTGTATTTATGATTTTTTAAAAGGTAAAAGGAAGTTGGAATCTGATTGTCTTCATTGGGCAATAATTTATTTTGAAGCTTGAGGGCAATTTCACCCTATTTGATGGTTCAGGAGGAATTTTTAGTGTATTTATGATTTCTTATATGTAAAAGCAAGTTGGAATTTGATCGCCTTATTTACTTAGTTTACTTTTTTCTTATTTCTTATACAAATGTCGAGTGTAATTCACTCCTGATAAATAGTTGGTGGATAAAATAACCACCAGTGGACACCACATCGACGACAGGAAGGTGTAGTGAATTTTACCTGGGCCAAACGAAAGGTATAGTGTTGGAAGTACCTATTAAATGACTCCACATTTATTTCACATTGTCAAACAGATTGGATAGAATAAAAATGGTAAAGCCCGGAGAGCATGGGCGCCGTTCAAAAAGTTTTTAGGAGGATATTACCATGATAAAAAAAATGACAAATCCATGGGAGATCAGAAAACGGCATGTGTCGCAGTCAATCAAGGTGTTAAATGTCATTTTTTTATTAAAAAATTAAGTTAATTAACAGTGGATTTTATTTGTTGCACTAGGTGTAAGTTTTCTACACTAATTGCATTTGATTCGCTCAATATAGCTTCAAATATTTGAAACATACTTGAGTGTACCATATACTTTTGACAAGTATGACAGTTCGAATACAGTGTGACACTAGTGTAACAAGTAAAATGCACTATATATGTAAAATATTAACATTAACATTTTTTAATTCATTATATCTCTACATACAGATTAAAATTTTTGTAATAATATGGAAGAGGATAGCAACATGAGCCGATACAATAACATTGAAGAATACAACAATACCGAAGAATTCAACAACGCGGATGAATTCAATAACGTAGACGAATACAACAGTATTGAGGATCTCAACAGCATAGAGGAAGGATTCAACAGCACCGAAGAATATAATAACATCGAGGACGAAGAAGAGGTAGCATCAGTTAAGGAGAAGTTTTCATCAAAAAATGAAGACTGGAGTTCTAAATTTCTTGAAGTAAGGTTACAAAATATATTTTTTCTTTTGATAAATAACATTAAGTAAAAACATATATTTACATCTGGACCTTAGAATCAAAGAGTATTAAGTCTATTTTACAAACTTTTGACTGCCTGTAATTTTAATTGGACTTAATATTAGTTTAAAAAATATATTTGGGAAACAAAATAATAGGACTTAATATCTAGCACCAATGGAAGGAGCAGGAAAAATTATGTACTAGTAACCAAAAATTTGAAAATGAAAAAGGTGGACTTAACATTGTTTGGTTCTGAGGTCCACATGTTGATATAAAGCAATTATATAATTGCTGTGAATGATAGAGTTCTCTCTTGTCTAGACTATGAATAAAAATGTACTTAGGGGTCTTGCTTTTTGATGAATTATTATTTTTTTTATTGATATTTGTATATCGTGTCTCTGTTGCCAATTTTTACCAGACAAGCAAAACATAAAGTCAGTGTAATAACAACTCTACCTAGCGGTAGCGTGTTACGCGAATTCACGGGAATGAATAAGAATATAGAGTAAAAGGTACATTATACAAACTAGAAATAAATTTCTTCCTAAAACGATACTAATGCCGGGCCTGCTTATGCAAATTTCTTGTCGGCCGGAGGCTCTAAAGCAGAAGTAAAAACATATTCGTCGATGGTTAGACATTTTTAAGTTCCTCTACTCATTGCCGGGAACCGCTATCTTTTTCTTGCGCGAAATGCGATTCCTTGTGTGTAAGACGCGCAAACCTTAATGTAATTAGGTTTCAGGTGCCAGTCAGAAAAAAGCAAAATCCAAGAAAAGCAATTCGAATTACAAATACGCCAGGAATTCTACCGGTCTTGTAACGCTTTATATAACATCATGCGAGCAAGATATGCCAACAAAACTCTTCATCGATACATTAAAGAAGGCGGTGCCTTACCTAAACTTCGACAGCACCGTTGAGACTGAGTATGGATTAATTATAAACCTTCAAAATGATACTTACGTTCAGAAATTATTGCAAATGGACTTGGCAAAAATATTTCAGAGACCAGTACAGGTAAAAAAATGAATATTCAAAATTTGGAGGATGAAAATACATGAGGGACAAGGGACTTGGAATAAAAGAGGTATAAGTGATGGTAACATATAGTTTGGTTAGATAAGCAGCTCTAAAGGCATTTCTCTCACCAGAAATCAAATCACGAGTGATGAAAGACTGTCTAGAAGACCTGGCAGAGCTAAGTAGTCAAAATAAGGTGATCCTAGCCTGGGTTCCAGGCCATGAGGCCGAATTAGTCCGAGAAGGCTCAGATAAGGCCATGACAGGCCCCGAACCCTTCTGTGGAGTTGCTAAGGCATTGTGCAAGGCATCCATTAAACAGTGGATGCAAAAAGTGTCTCAGGAATGGTAAAACAACTATCCAAGGCTGAGACAGGCCAAACAGTTCATCAAGGAACCATCGGCCAAGTTCACAAAAGCGTCAAACTGTTAGGATAACAGTAGGCCTTCTTACTGGACACTGTCGCCTCAAAAGGCACATGAGTGTCATCAATCCAGCAGAAGAAGCAACTTTGTGCAGATTCTGTGAAGAAGAAGAAAAAGTGACAACATCATTCCACGTCCTGTGCCAATGTGAAAGCCTGGCTGGAATGAGTTTTCTAACATTGAGCGAAGAAAAACGAAATGCATGCAACTACATGCGGGAGCCACTGTCAAAGCTACTAAGTCTAATAAAAAAGACCAGGCTAGACGACATACTCTAAAACAAACGGAGTCCCACAATAAATCTGAAAAGATTGCGGTGGACAAAGACAAATAACGTCCAACTCCTAATCTAATATAGTTTGGTGCAAAAGAGATTCAAGTGACATATTGAGCTAGACTGCCATCTTTTAGTGAGTAGAAATACTATGTGAAGAATTTAAATAAAACATCCTAGCACTTTTTAGGAACTTTCAAATGTTGTTTAACTTTAAATGCAACTATCTCAGAATAATTTAAAATGCACTTACACCTCTTTTATTCTAAGGCCTTCAAATGATTGTAAGTTTCTCTACTAATAGTAACAGATGATGATGTCACAGTGCCAGTGTGACCAATAACTTTAAAATACTTGTAAAACTTCGTTTGAAAGACATCAAACTTTAAAAAAAAAATCAATTTAAGAGACTTTCTATCTCTTATATTAAGCCAGATCCGTATACAGGGTTGGGATAAAGTATGGAACCAAGTAAATATCTTTAAAACGAAAAGGACGATATTTATGGAACTTTGCAGGTAAGTACAATGACGTATAACGCATCTGATGCCACATTTTTTTTTTACTACTGTACTCCCGGTTCACCGGAAATATCTTCAACTTTTTCTTGTTATTCCGAATTCGCATATACTAAGTTTAGATCTTTTAAAAATCTGCAAACATATACAGGGTGTCCCCTTTAAATTAAAAAAGTTGAGGGTATTTCCGGTAAAACCAGAAGTACAGTAGTAGCAAAAAATATGACTTCAGATACGTTATGCGTCATTATACTTGCCTGCAAAGTTTCATAAATATCGTCCTTTCCGTTTTAAAGATATTTACTTGGTTCCATACTTTATCCCAACCCTGTATACAGATTTAAATTTCAAACACCCTGTATATACAGTTCTTTATCTTTGACTGCAATTAATATTATTCAATATTCTATAGGCCGTTCCATTATTTTCTGGAAATTATTTGAAAATCGTCAGTTTCAAACAAATTCCTTGGTGCATTCGTATCGAAGAAATCGAAAATTGTTTGAAAAAGCAGGGCATAAAATACGGAAGGATATCGAGAGAAAAGTCGACTCTATACATCGAAGTCACCGATTTCCCGAACTACCAACGGCTCAAAGAGGAAGGCATCAATTTTTATAATTCCGTAATGTTTCAAGCTTCTGAAGATGCGGGACTAAACGACGAAATTCATTATAACAGTGATGACATTATTCAATGCTACAAGTAAGTAGAATCTTTGTATAATAAGGAATTCAAGAGTTGTATTCATTAGATTATTATTATTTATTATACATTGATAAAGGCTAAAGAGATAAAGATCTATGATAGCCTAAAAACAGAATAGAATAATTGGAACACTAATGAAGGGTTCCTCAGGGTATTTCATTCGAAACAATAGCTAAATTTCAACAATATATTTCAACTTAAAAGATACAAAATCATAAAACTAATCAAGGCGTCATTACCGAACACTTTCGGCGCCATTACCTTTTTTTTCTAACCTCAATTTCTCTTCGTTTTTATTTGGTGGTGATCTGTTACGTTTGGGAACAATTGTCAGTGGCATCTAACATAAAATACTGCTAGCAGAAAACTACTACATTAAAAACTAAATAATAATGTTAAACAATCGTCTAATTTATTTTTAAAAACGTTATGACACCAACAACTTTGTCACTGAGATCGTTCCATACATTAAATACCCGGTGGGAAAGGCATGATTGTCTGTGCTTCGCGATACTAATACCCCGTTTTTTTAGATAAACTACGGCACTGTCGTTTAAAAAACCACTTCCACTACTTATATGGGCGACAATTAATCATTTTCTTTTTCAAGTTGGTCCTTGTAATCCTATTTGAAGCAATATTATATATAGAAAATTAAGAATTCGGGTCAAAAAGTTGAAGAATTTCTATATGTTTAAAGTTGATATTGGAACCTTTGTTTCGTCACTATTTCCAAACTAATAGATTTATAAACTTCAAAATTTCAGAAAATATTTATAAAAAGTGTAGAAACATTATTCTATGAACAAAATTTTAAAATTTTACCAGCTGTTAAAGATAGAGTATCAAAGTTGAATTCCTATTTGTTTAAAGTTGATATTGCAGCTTTTGTTTCGTCACTATTTCCAAACTAATAGTTTCGTAACTATTTTTACCTCGACTTATTAAAATATGATAAAAAAAATAAACTACTACAACTAACCATATACCTATCTCACGCTACGACACTGATTTATTTAATTGAATTAATACCTAACTGGTTCATTAGCCTTCCCAGTATTGACAAGTTTATCGCTGATTCAAAGTATTTACCTAACTTGCTACATATATTTGTACGAGTAAATATTATGGAATAATCTCACTTTTTATGCCGTGTTGGATTGTGTCTAGAAAGACTATATACTGAATTGTTATTTAAAATTTTAATAAATAATAGTGTTTGGTAGATTTCATATCCCACTAGAATAAATTATTACGTTTTGAATTATTTCTCGTTTTCTTTTTTTTACTTTTGAAGTGGTTCGATGTTTAGACGGGTCCTTAGGTTGAAAGAACACACACACTGGGTAGAGAACTAATATTGCCAAAAAAGACAATAAAAAAACTTTAATTTTACAAACACCGAAAAGGATAACGTTTATTACTGTCACGCTGAACCTTCACTGCTTCGCAGTTCAGACGAGAATGCCCGAGTGCCTGCTTCGGTTGCCTTCAGCGCACCGCACGTAGCTCTCGCGCACATAATTTTGCATCACTCTTACATAAGCGCGCGTTTGGGAAGTCAAATTTAAGCTTTTTAATCAATTAGTTTGTAACATATTTTCTTATTACAGATGTCAAGGCTTCTGGCACACAGCGAACACATGCAAACAAAATGTAAGATGCGTTCGTTGCGGCGAGCAACATCAGGTTGAAAACTGTAATCGTCCAAAGAGCAGTCCGATTTGTTGTAACTGTAAAGGTCCTCATCATGCCGCTTACAAACTGTGTCCAGTCAGATTGAAACTTCAAAAATCCGTTAGAGTTTCGTTTCTGTTTGATCAGTAAGAACGTCTCGAGGAACAGTTATAACGACTTTACAATTCACTAGCATATTAACACTACCACAGAATAGAGAACAATACAGAAAAGAAACATATAGATACTCTGAGAAAACGTATCTATTCACAGTGCACCATAGAGCTAGGTATATGGTGAATAGTTACGTTTTCTCAGGGTGTCAGCCAAAACCCCCGGCGACCAAATCCCCGGGACTAAATCCCCGCGACCAAATCCCCGGGGATAAAATCCTCGACGACCAAACCTCCGGAAACAAGAATCCCCGGTGGCAAATATTTTTATTCAAGGGATTTTTTTACTGGAATTTTTGTTTCCGGGGATTTTGTCACGGGGATTTTGTCGGTGGCGGTTGTGTCGCCGGTGATTCTGCGTCGGGGATTATGTCGGTAACCCGTTTTCTCAGTATCTCTGTGGTGGAATTATCCCTATGTTTCTTTTCTGTATTGTTATCTCTTCTGTGACTGTACAGATAAGTTAAAAATCACTATACGTAATGTTGTATTGTCTTTGATCGTGTGAATCATAAATTAAAGCATAGTTGATGAATTTTGAGAACATAAATTAATAAATAAGGTAGAGTGAAAATCACTGCTAGTGAATTATAAAGTCATAGTTTGTTCTTTCAGACGTTTAACTAGCATGGCTTTTTATGAGACAAAAAAAAGGAAAGCAAGCTATAAAATTATGTAAATTATTGGTAATAAATATATAAAATACTAATATCGTGTTTTTTTTTTGTAATTGCGAATGTCCCAGATATTTTCATAGTAAACATTTTTTTTAATCAGTAAATGTGTCAAATCAACATACATGAAATCCATAAACTAAACTTCATCACGCCCACAGAAATTTCGTCGGGCGCCATTTTATTTTGGCCAAATTTCGTATGAGGGGTTTCCGAGCGACTTTAAAAAATCGTACCGTCCGAACAGATAGACCGATTTTAAAGAAACTTGGACCGAAGGCAAAGTATGTTTAGGAAAGATATTAAAAAAATTATTTGTTTACAATAAACCGTCGAAAAACGTCATAAAAACGTAAAAATCCGTCGAAAACTCATCCTTATCTGTATACAAACAGGAAACTAAAAATAGATTGCCCTTAATAAAAAACAAACCCATATTCAAGTTTTTAATGACACATAATCATCATACAATTTAATAAGAGATACAGGAGTCCTTGGCGTCACTAAATCAAGAGCTTTCACAAAATGTTTCATCTCCACAAATTCGCTTTCCAAATTTTCTTCAAGGGCCAACATCGCAGCTTCATGACACACGGCATTTACTTCAGCTCCTGAATAGTTCTCTGTCCGTTCTACCAAATCCTCAATGTTCACAGAGGAAGTCTAAAAAAATACAATCTTTCTTTTCACGTTCTTGAAAATGTGCATCATCACTATTAGTTTTGCAAACACAATAAAAACGCTCCAAAGGATATTAAAGTTCGGGAAAAGGACAATGGAGAAGGATGGAAGCACAAAGGAACTTACTAGTTTAAGAAATCGGGAATTAACAGTTGAAAACCCAAAAACATCTAAACGAAACACAATCTAAAACAACTTACAGGCATCTTCGTAAATTTAATCCTAAATATATCTTTCCTCGTCTGTTCATCAGGCAACGGCACATAAACAATTCTATCCAACCTTCCGGGCCGCAGCAGCGCTTTGTCGATCCTATCTGGCCTGTTCGTAGCCGCCAAAATTGTGACGTCTTGCAACGGAGTTATACCATCCAATTCCGTCAAAAGTTGGGCCAAAACGCGTTCTTGAACATTCGATCCCGAATTACCGCTACGTTCGCCGCCCAAAGCGTCGATTTCGTCGAAGAATATTATAGACGGCGCCACTTGTCGCGCTTTGCGGAACACCTCTCTGACCGCGCGTTCTGATTCGCCCACCCACTTACTGAAAAGTTCCGGACCTGAACATGAACAACGACATTACTGATTTGGTTATCGATTAACACATTAAAAATCAAGTTTTTTAGTATTTTGTTGTTTTATTTAAATATTAAGTTTTCCTGTATAAAGTTGATGTTGATATAAATAAACTGAGAAACATATTTATTTAGTTCTAGTAAAAAAACATCTTACCTTTAATTGATAAAAAGTTTAAACCGCTTTCGCACGCCAGTGCCTTGGCGATCATAGTTTTTGAACAGCCAGGTGGGCCAAACATCAGTACACCCTTTGGTGGCGTGACGCCTAATCTTAAAAAACTCTGCGGGTATTTGAGAGGCCATTCGATGGCTTGTTTTAATATCATTTTCAAATTGTTTTGACCACCGATATCCGACCATTTAACGTTAGAAATCTAAAAAAAAATAATTATTTTTCATTTTTGATTACAAAAATTGAATTTTTTTATGACATTTCAATTTTGGCGACTATTTCTTATGTATTAAAACTCTCGGGCTCTAATAAAAATATTAATGCCAAAATTATGTCTCATCAAATTAATATTATTAAAATATCCTCGAGATTTAGACGCAACAAAAATACTCTAACGGTAAGGGGACACATGTCCGAAGTAGATGAATGTCTGGGTTAGACTCCCAGTGACGACAGGTTATTTTTAAATCTACAAGTATTTGCTTTCACCTTCAAGGTCCGGGGATGGTCTTAAAAATTGTTTTCTAAACTTTCAAATTATTTCAGCCTAATAAAAATAAATTAGCTAATTCAAAATCAAATTAGAAAATGTAAATTTGGATAAATTTTCAGAAATTGTATTAAGTACCAGAAAATTAGTGGTAAATTAAAAACCATTATCTAGAGATTGTCGAGTTAAGCGACCTTTATGATTTATTTTAACGACATTTTGTCCTACACCTTTAACGATATGATTTATAACTTTTTGGTAATAAAATTATCTAGAAGTACACGTGCCTTAAAATATTGATTATTACTTTTATTATTTAACGAGATGATTAATAAAAAGTTTAATAGCACTAATTTGTTTAATTATTTGGTAATAAAATTGCGCTGGGCAACACTATCTAGAAGTACACGTGACTTAAAATGTTGATTATTCATTTAGGGTTATTAATTATGGGTTAAGTGGTAGAATATGCTTTGTAAATGATCAAACATTTACAAAGGATGAACTTCGTCCATTATTTCTATAATTTGTTTTGTATCTTTAAAGAAATAATAGAGACGTTATTATTATGTATAAAAAAAATTCTTTGCAATGTTCCAGGGGCCCCGACACACCCAGTACATTACGCGAAAGGCCTGGTCGCTGAGAAGATCACTCCATACATCCGCTCGGTCAGTGATCTTCGGCCAAATTCAATTGCCTCAAAAGACGAAGTGGCCTAAGGACTACCACTTACTGCATCTTCAACACTAGTTGTTTTGATGAGTCTCGGCAAGCCGGTATTTTTTATAGCTCCGTGAGCATAGTGGCCTCGATTCTCCCTAAAACACCCACAATTAAGTCAACCATGCGTACATTATATTCTGGATACATTCTTTGCAACTCGCCAATCAGTGGAAGGTATTTGGCACGCTTTTCCCCTTTCCTTAACAAGAATGTTGGTTTCAATGACAGACATTGAATCACACTGTTTGTCCAACAGCACCAAATCGGGCTTGTTAGGTTGGAGTCTGGTTGTTATGGGAAAAGCGTAATTCCAATAAATACGGCAACTGTTATTTTTCACTATCGCTTCAATTTCGTCTGGGACCTCATCTATACCGTAGTGATGTCTCAGATGATAGCAGAGAACTCCCAATGCGGCGTTGTGCCTGTAGATGTACCCAGGCGCAGCTTGCATAGGGCAAGCGGACAAAAGATGCATTAATGTCTCCGGGTATTGTTGGCATGTTCTGCATCTGACATCCGCCACATGCGTAAATTAAGCGCGGTATACGAGAGTATTAATTACGCCATCATGGGAAGCTAACAAGAATCCCTCTGTCTCAGACTTCAAGTCAACTGATTGAAGAATGGAGAAAGTTAATTCCCGAGATAAAGATCTTCTATGTTCCTGTAAAAAACACCGTGCTGGGGTTTGCTGACGTGATCTTCCAAGAGCAGCTGTTGTTCTGCTGCCCTAACTATACGTTTTACTTGAGCGGGTTCATCTATTTCGAATCTGAGACCACATCCACAGCTTTACCAGCAACCTTAAAAAGAAAAGCCCCTATACCAGTTGTTTCATGGTCTCGAACCAGCTGCAGTAGTGGGTCAGCACTATTAGCTATCTTGCAAGCCAAACTCACAATTAATCTATGATGGAATCTCTCCACATTCAGAAGACCTCTGCCCTCTTGATGACGAGGAAGGAAAATGCGCGATACCGATAAGCGTGGGTGGATGCTTTAGTTCATATGCATCATCTTGCGTGTGTTTACATCCAGTTGCCGTAGTTCCTCTCGCCTCCACTTGAGCACGCCAAATGAATACAAGAGCACAGGAACGGTAAGAAAGCTGGGATTCCCATATTTTCCGGAGACGCTGCTTATACTTACTACGGAGCGTTTTTTTTTTTTTGACGTTGTTAGTGTTGATCAACACCAAGATATTTGTAAGTTTCGTCATCTTCTAAGTGACGAAGTATGCTTCCGTCAGTAAGTTACTCGTTCTCAGGCTGGACTACCCAACGGCCTTTCTGAAGTCTTAGAACGGCGCATTTGTCCAATCCAAATTCCATACCGATATCCCGTGTATATTCTTGCACCACCTTCAGAGATTGTTGTAAATCTCAGTCGCTAATTGCATAGACCTTAAGGTTGTCCATGTAAAACAGATGTGTTACCTTGTGTTATTATTATTATTTACAATAGCGGTAGAAAGCAATATTTGACCCATGATTGACGCCAAGTATGCTGGAAGCATGTATGAGCCAGCTAAATTCACAGTATTGTCCCTGTCCCTGCTAGCTTCTTGTTGTCTTTGCGATTTTTCATGGTAATTATCACTATATACCATCTTTTTTATAATTTGCGTTAGAAAAACTAATAGGGAATCAAAAAGAAGAGTTTTTAACGGAGATAAAAATGTTCAGTGGCGTTACTTTAAAAATTAAAACAATTTAAATTAGTTGATTAGATTAAAATAAACATTTCTTAGTGCTCTACTGTCATTAGTCCAAAGTTTTTATATTGCGCTATTAATGGTAGAGTTAGTACTCTACCTGTGTACTCTACTACTAGAAATACTAATGTAAGAACCCATTAAGGGGCCGTTCGAAGTTGTGAAGCTGTATAACAGGTAAGCTGTCGTTTAAACCGCCCTCAATGTACTGATTAATCAAATGCACTTCTGACTTACCTCTATTTGAACTTCTCTCATTGCACTGGGTCTAACTCGTTTTAAAGCATACTCAAAATCCTCCTTAGAAACGTTTCCTTGTTTACGTCTATTAGCATGTAAACTGGCCATCGAACATAGAGAGACTAGATCGGATCCGACAAATCCGTGGGTATTCAATGATATATTTTGAAGATCGTGTTCGTTAATCTCAATATTTAACTGTTTTAATAGTTTTTCTAAAATAGCACGTCGGTTTTTAGGATTGGGTGTAGGAATTTCCAATTCTCTATCTAGTCTTCCACATCTTCTGAATGCCGGGTCGATGTTATCTGGTTTATTGGTTGTGGCGATAAGGAAAACTTTCGATTGTTGAGTGTATAACTCGTCGAATATTTTTAGAAAGATAGATACAACTCTTTTTTCTGTTTCTGTTAAACGGTTACTTCTTGCTGGACACACAACATCGAATTCATCTAAAATTATTATGCTAGGAGCATTTTCTAAAGCATCAGCAAATAACTGCTTGATATACTTTTCTACGTTATTAGAATTATTACAAAAAATTTCTGGTGAATTGATCATAATCACATTTGCTGTTGATTGTGATGCTACATATTTAGCGATTGAAGTTTTACCAGTTCCGGAATTACCATAAAGCAAGACTGCTTTAATTTGTGTTGGGTGAATTGACTGTCCTAAACAAGCATTCATTAATTCTTTGATCTCTTCGATTTCATTGTCTACGCCCGCGGGACAATCGAACAGTTTAGATTCTGAGTTTTGTTTATAACTTTCTTCATCTCTGTAATATTATTATTAAAAATATTATAAGTATTGCATTAATTAACATGGATTAAATTGGGGCGATATAATGTAAGGAGATGTAGACATCAGTTCACTTAATGAAAGTGGAAACAAAGACGGCGAAGGTTAATAAACAGGACCGAACCGGCCAAAAAGGGCTTCGCACGATATTATGTGCTAATAATTTGTGTAGGAAAATTATCAAATGACAATTTTGCCTTGTCTCAAGACCATGGAGTTATAAGGTAGGGAGACGCTATAAGTATCTTTTTCAAACATTCAAAACGGTATAACTTGGCGTGGATGTTGTCAACCCAATATGGCCTATCCGCCAGATGCGGACTTAGCTGAATGAAACCCAAATCTACATTTTTATATTTTATTTTTAGAAAATGTAAGCAATATTTTTAAATTGTTATAAAATGGATGATTAAGGTCTAAGAACTAATTTTTAGTAACTCCACCGAGAATTCCACTTATAGCATTTTATAGAATAATAAAGTCTAGAAATTTTATTTAACATATTGTAGACCGAAACTGGTATAACATAGAATAATCAAATAGTTGGTAGGTATTAATTGAAAATATATTATGGCAAAATAATATATAATATAAAAATTATGTTTATATTGGCCATTAAAAAATACAATTTTATTCTTATACTGTCTTATGCTATCACATTTTTTTATTTTATTTTTAATGATGTAAAACATCCTAATGTTTGTATATTTGTTAGGTTATACAAGTGATGCTGATCAAAACTGTACAATTTGCAAATATATTTTAATTTATAGATGACTTGTAGCACTGTACACACTAATTTACTAAAATAAGGTGTATCATTTAAAGTAAATTAAAGACAAACGTCTAATATCCATAAAGCATAGAGGGATATACTATAGGCTTTTTTATTTTTTTTTTGTCAATAAACGAAAATATTTGTCCCGATTTAGACTGGGCAGTCCCGATTTAACATGTGTCCCGCTTTTGTCTAAAAATAAAAATATTTAAATTCTTATGGTGTCGTGACATTCCACTCTTTTATAGGTATATATACAGGGTGTTTCATAATATATGCGCAGGACTTCAGGACGTGATAGCTCGTCCAAAAATATGAAAAACGTTTCTATTAACTTACCCTCTAAAATGCACCATTTTCGAGATACAGGGTGTTGAAATTGAAAAAAAAAAATTCTACGCCACTGGAAAAAGTACGGTTTTGAGAACCGCCTATGTTTTCTACACAAAAAAGGTACTCTTGGTCATAAGTTTTCGAGAAAAATCAAATTTTAATGTTGAAATACATGGTCAATTTTTAGAAATAAAACAAAAATTGATTTGATATCTATTAGGTTGCTACAAATACGTTGAGCACAAGCAACCAATGTTTAACTTTTAAAATGTACAATATATTTAGTTTGCAAACGACATAAAAATAGAAAAAACGTTGTTTGAAACCACGATTGGCTGTTTGAAGGATTCGTGAACGCAATATGGCGGAAGTGAACCCATCTTGGACCACGTGACAGCGTCTCCCTACCTTTTACCTCCCGTGTTGCAAGTTTGTTACTATTGGAAAAAATCTATCACATTTATGAAGGGTTCATTACATTTCCAGTAAATCTATTACACTTTCAGTAAATCTATTACATGTTCAGTAAATCTAATTACATTTTCACGAACCTAACGATTTAATCTAACCGTATCTGGATTTTGATTTTACCGTTTACTCCAAACAATTTAATAACAAAATAAATTTAGTTTTTCTAGCTATGTTTGTGTAGATATATTCTGATATTTTTGCAAACAGATTTTAATTTTATATTATAAATAACTTATTAAATTTGTGATAAAGAAACCAAAAATTGCGACTACCGCTATGTACACAAATTGTGCAAAAAACTAAATAAAGAAAAAACACATTTTACGTTGACTAAAACTTCTATTACATTTTCTTTAAATTTATTACAATTTTGAGAGTTTTTCTATTATATTCTTTCAGAGTGTTCTGTATAAGTAACATGAGTGACAAAAAACATTAAAGCAAGATCTACTTCATTCCAGATTGTAAAACGGGATAAAAATCTGTATGGAATCCTTTTTATGTATATCTAATCCATAATATAGAACAGGTTTAAAGAAAATTTTTATGCATTGTTGCCTTTAAATCAGGTATCGTTCCAGTCAACTTCAGATACAATTATGATGAATTACACACACTTTTGTCATCTTGAGACCCTTCTGAGTAGAAGAAACCAAAGGTATTTTAAAATATTGTTTAACATTATCTGCCGATTGTCCCTACTTGTTATCCCAAATTGAATTTTCTGTACCCTCTAGAGTAACTAGGAATATTAATATATTCTCCTAACCTTTCCATAGAACAAATTATGGTTCTCATTATTTTTATTACTAGAGTGAGAGATATGTGAGGAGTAAATGTTAGATTTTTAATATTTAGGTATTTAATTTAATTTATTATTATTATTTAGGATTTTATTACTATTTAATGTATGTGATATGTATTCTATGTAATTGTATTGTTTTAATGTGTTCTGACCCATAAATAAATAAAATATAGACAGGCAACAGTATTTACAGGAAAATGTATGAGAAGTTGCTTTTGAAGAATTAATCTATTCTGTCAAAATAAAAAAATATCATTAATTAATAGGTAGAGTGAAGTTAAAATGTATAAACAGAAGAATTTTTATTTATATTTTCATTTTTGTTCGAAAGAAAACAGAATGAATGATTAAAATTGGTTTCCTATCAGTAAGTCACAAAATTGTATTTCAGCCACATACAATAATCAAAGGCAGAAATCCAGTTCTTGCTGAATATTTAAGATTAAAGGGATGTTGAAGAAACACCGTAAAATAGTAATTTATTGTTTATTTAAAACCTTTCAAGTTTTTGATGTCTACTATTTCCAGTATTACTGTTATTATTACCAAAATAAAGATAATTTTTCTTCTTATTGCACACCTATCCATTTATTTCTTTGATTTAATATCCTCTTTACTACTGGACATTTTTATAATTTACACAGTTTTTTTGCTAGTATTTTTACCATTTTCAACACAGCAACTCCGATTGCTTATTGTATTGTTTTTACCTACTTTAAGCAAAAAAAAGTAAAATATAATAACTTTACACTGAGTTTAAACAAATAAATGAAAATATTAAGTGGTTCTGTAAACATTGCTTGCAAGAAGTGGAAGTAAGGCTGAAAACATCCACAAAAGATGTGGATAAAAAGCGACAAAACAAAAGAAGTGTTAAAAAAAGTGAAAAACTAATAAACCTAATACATTATCATAATCAGCAACAACCTACATATTCTCGTTTTAAAAAATAAAAACAAAGTAGAATCATTAATTATTAAACCTAAAACTGTGCAGAAACAAAAAATAGTCCAGCTGAAATTTCTGCTTTGATATTGAAGTTAAAAGAGGTCTCACATAGGTGTATGTATCATTGTGCAATTTAAAGATAAAGAGTCACTTGAAAATTTAAGAGCAAACACTAACAATGAGATGGAGCTGAATATCTAATTTATTATCTGAATGTTTGAATTGTCAATTTACTCCTATTTTAGACATACAAGAGCTGCAAATTCTATTAATTTTTATGTTACAAGTAAAAATAATAATTTATTTCAATTTAATCAATTATCTCATGATATAAACTACATTAAAGAGCTAAATCTATAACACAAATTGAAATATTGAACAATTACACACTTATGGGACACCCTAAATAGCAATAAATGTTTTTTTATGTTTGCTAAAAAGGTTTTTTATCTTTATGATGTATATGGAACAAAGTGAGATAATGCAGTCCTTAGTTAATTGTTTAAAAAATGTTTATATGTATTATCTTTGATAAATAAACATTAAAAACAAGCTTGTAAATACAGAATTAGAGTAATTATTATGAATATAAAATAAGCAATAGATGGATTCTCATAAATCTAGTGGATGAGAAATGTTTGTTGTGTTTAGAAAACAATAGATTTATTATTTTTATACTCATAGATACTAATCTCACAATAGGAAACAAAAATAGTCTATACAAATAAAAATCATACTTACTTAAAACATTTCCATTTTGTCTTAGACACAATTTTATAGAACTCATATTTAATTCGATCTCCAATAGCCATTTTATCAAAACAATTTTCCACATTCTCTATACTCGATTCTATTGATTTAATTTCAAATATTAATTCCTTTCCATAAAACATTACTTTGATTTTGTTTCCGGTGGTCAAAAATTTATTATCACAGCATCTACTTAATCTGTTATGAAGCTCAGGAGTAAGTTCTAACGATTTGGGAGCATTTAAAATCGTAAGAGATACAAATGAGGCTTCTTGTAAAGGTAGTTTTAGTTGTTTAACCGTAACTTGTTGATTAGACTGAACAAAACTTAATTCTAAACCTAAAAAGGTAATTGAATTGATAGACAATTAAGGGTTTAATCAAACAAGACTTACCGCTTTTAGTGAATAGTACAGATGTAAGTGATTTTTCAATATTAGGCCAAACAATTTTAGCAACAGGTGGAACATTATTAAAACTTTCCACAATAGCCCATTCTCCTATAGCTAGCTCACATAACTTAATTACAGATTCGCTAAGAAATACTAAATAACCTTTTTCGAGAGTCGATACATTTTTAATGTCTTCATTTGTCTTTACTTCTGTATGCCCATACAAAATCTTATCTTTAATAAAGTTGTAAGAACTTGCTTTTAAATCCGGAGGACAATCATTTGAATGACGCTCTGTATCTTTGCTCTGTAAGAAAGTACGGCAACTATCACATTGCATCCAACCAGAAGTCTTTTTTGATTTTTGCTGCGACATTTAATAATTTGAATTTTAACTATTTATTTGTTAGATTTTTTAAAAATGCCTGCACTTGAATGATAAACCTAACCTCTTTTTTCTTCTTTGACACACTGACTTTCTAAAGTCTAGACAAGGAACCAATACGTGAATACGTGCATGCTAGTATAAGTATAGTATAAGTAGATACCAATGCATTCTAAAAGAAACAGGATTTATATTGTCTTAGGATATCGATACTGTATGTAATTAGGACCCGATTCCATCGTTGTGTTAAATGAAGTTTAAATTACCTACCAAGCGAAATTTAAAATGACATTTTTGTATCAACAATGTCATTTTAATTTTCAATTAGTTAGGACCGATTCCACCGTTGTGTTAAACGGAGATTAAAATGACATTGTTAATGTAAAAATATCATTTAAAACTCCGTTTAACACAACGGTGGAATCGGTCCTAATTTAAACTTCATTTAACATAACGGTGGAATCATACCATTAGGAACACACGTTAAGATAATGCATACATTTTGAAAAACTACGTTGTTTTATTTTTTAATACCTACTTTGCAACATTTTGGAATAAAAACATCACAATAAAAAGATAAATTTAATGTTTATGTGTGCAACTTTTAAACTTTTTACTGGTCAACTAGTTCTTGAATAGTTTTTATACATATTTTTGAAGAATCAGAAATCTTATTTCATTTAAAAACAAACTACATAATAATATAATTTGATGGAATATACCAATCTAATCTAATCATATAAGGTCTTTGATCAATATTTTAAGTCAGTGGATCTCAAAATGTGATTTGCGATCTCCTCAATCTCACCTTTGTCAAAAAAAGGGAGGACTAAGAAATTTTTAAAATACATAATAGGACTTATTTTTGAACGAAGACTTCATTTACATTGCATTTTCTCAGTGTGTCTCGCATATGAAGACTATAGATAAGGAGACGAATCGACATGTTCGAAATACGGTCCCAAAAAAGAACGCTAATTGAGCTTTTTTAATTCACCGCAAGGGCGCTAGTGTTGCCAGCACTGTTTAAAATACATTCATTCGTATGTTAATTTTACATAATTTTGTCAAAATAATAAAAATAAACTTGTTTATTGCCAAATAAAGCAAGGAATATACTGTTGTATTAATTTCTAAATAAGTCTTGCATGTTTTAATTGATAAATTATTTAATTTTATCTATATAAAATGCAAATTAGCTAGGTATTACCAAATTTGGAAAGGTTCATTGAATGCTAACATTTGGTAAGTACAATTTTGTGACTACATTTTCTTAAATTATACCCAAATATAGTTTTAAGAGCAAAATAAAACACATTTTTTTTATTGTTATAATACAAGCATAAAGGGAGATTTGGGAATGTACATGATATAATTTCGGCTTTCCCCTTTTTATTTTGCTAACAGTAACATCAGTAAAAAGAGTCATAATATTTGGAAATATTTTCTAAAAAGTGTAGAACAGCATTATCTAAAAAGTGCTTTATCGGCCCTATGAACGATATACATGCTGTCACTGTTCTAAGCGTTTAGCATCCTAGAAAAAAACATTTATAATGACAAAATTGGGGTTCAACAAAAAAATAACAGTAGCAACTCTAAAACACTATAAAAACAAATTTTCTTTTCCAGTAAGTTAAATTTAATGTGAAATTATTGTTGTTTGCAAGTCAGAAAAATAAACTACACTCTGTAAGATACATGTTGTCATGTTGTGGCTAGTTTACAAAAAAATATTATATTTAGACATAAATACTTGATTTTATTTACATTAGAAGCTTTAAAAAGACATTGAATTGATTTCTTCTTATGTTTTATTTAGTTTTACATCTGATTTGTATTCTGATACAATCTGGAACGAAGTAAATCCTGCTTTGATGTTTGTTGTCACTCATGTTACTTGTACTCAGGTACTTTTTCACATTATTTTGATTTTTTCACCAATTTTTTATAAAATTACTTCATTTTACATTGACTTATATAGAAAATGAACGGCAGTGACGTTCGATCTGCCAACTACAGTCAATTTGGTGAAGTTTATAAAAAGAAGGACAGAAATTTGAAATTTTGCTACTTAAAAAAAATGTCTTTCCACTTTTTCAAGGGCTAAAAATTCGACGACGAAGCGATATTCCGCTTCTCCTGGCAAAACTGAACAAAGTCTTATTTATAGGCACCTTTCACAAATTTTCCCCAGAGGGTGTATCACTTGGCTTTGATTCGCGTATACTTTTCTAAACTGTAATTTTTAGAAACTTTTTTTATGTCTTAAATACCTTAAATATGTTCATTAATCACGAAAAAAGGAATTTTGAAATGTTTGGGATCCACTGCTTAATTGCTAATCTAAAAATATGCCACATAAAATACAAGAGTGTTGTTAGAGTTGCCTAGAGGAAGGAGTAAATTTTTAAGATGCAGCGACAGATGACAGTGACTAATAAAGAATTTCGGTTATCGGTTGTCATTATTTATTTATTAAAATTAGACATTCATTATCGTATTCAGGTTTGATAGTTTTGTATAAAAAGTGATTAAATTTAAATATATTTATTTTTAGATAACTAGCCTGTATTAATTTCGATAAATCTTATTATAAAGTATACAAATATATCGAAGTAATTCGTTGTAAATATTTTGGTCGATGAATGTTTAGCTTGCGGTAGGTATTGGTTTTTCGGCCGCTGGGAAGTGTAATTTGCTAGATAAACTAATAAGTATGGCCGAACAAGGTGAAAATATGAATAAAACTGATACTGCTCCAGAACCGAATCAAGACGAATTAATATTAGCTCAGCAACGCCAAATTGAAAAAGAGGTGATCAGTTTTTAAAAGTGAGGTTATGGTCTGTGTTTATAATAAACAATTTTAGATTTCAGATTCAATTCCTCTAGTAGGAGATAAAGAACCGATAACTTCTTTAAATAATGAATACTCCGCAGACAACATATATCTAGAAAAAATTATAGATCTCTCTAAAAAGTATAAATATATCAGAAGAACTCGACCGGATGGGAATTGCTTTTTTAGAGCATTTAGCTATGCGAATATTGAAAGACTGCTTGGTAAACCTGACGAATTCGAGGCTTTTTATAAAATTGCGGAAAGTAGTAAAGATGATCTGGTTAAACTGGGATTTCAGCAATTTACAGTTGAAGACTTTTATGACACTGTAATGAGTATTTGATTTTTTTTAATTATCCTACCTAAACTTTCTTATATTTTTAGTACATGGAGGTGCTAAAAAGACTAAAAAATATCGAAAATCTGAATGATGCACTAAAAGAACTGCATGTAATATTTAACGAGCAGGGTTTCTCTGATTACATGGTAGTTTATCTTAGACTTCTTACTAGTGGACAATTACAGAAGGAACATGATTTCTATAGCTGTTTTATTGAAGGAGACAGGACTGTAAGTACATTTATTATAATTTAGTAGTACAATTGTATTTAGATATTATAATTGCAATGCAAATTACCTTGGAGGATAATGGATAGTAGCAATAGATGGCAGCAAGCTCTCAACATTTTTTTTTAAATAAAACTTGAATAATTTATGCAAGAAACAGAAAAAAAAAGCTATTTAAAAAAAATCCATGTATTAAGTCTGTTATTATTGGAATATTCTCTTAAACTTTGCATTATTTTGGAAAATGTATATTTTGCTAACTTTACAGAATTTTTTATATTTGTTTAATAATTTTATATGAAGAGGTAGAGCATTATAGAACTTTGTCCCTAGATATTTTACACTGTTTTTAAAAATCCTATATTTGGTTTTGGTACTTTAATGCACATGTTTGATGCAGTTCTAGTGTTATGTCTATGTTCTAAAGGGTTTTTTAAAAATTCATTTTTTTGTATATAACAACACACTGCGTGAATATATCAACATCTAGTATTGCTAATTTTTTCATTGTATAAAGTTATGGTGGGACACAATCTATCTCTTTTATATTTTAACTTCAAGATTTTGTTTTGAATAACATTTAACTGATTTAATGTAGTTCCATACCAAGATTCCATACCATAGTATAGATTCTACTAGACTATAGTATAATGTTATTAGTAGATCCTGGTTGAGAAATTGTTTTAGAAGATAAAATTTATAAGTCAGAAATCCAAGTTTTTTGCTAGTCTATAATTATACCTAAATATTTGGATGTTTCTGTTTCCTGTATGTCTAAATTTTGACATGTTAAGCTTCTAAATTGAGGTCGATCAGCCACTGTCTTTGAAAAAGAAATGTAGTTTGTTTTGTTAACTTTAAAAGACAATTTAAAAACATCGAGCCAGTTTTTGATATGTTCCATTCCAGCTATAATACGTTGTAACGGTTGGAACCGTTATTCGTTATTTTGACACAATCATCTCTACTCAAATGTCATTTGTCGTTTATGCCTTGTGTCAAAAGTTTGTATTTAATTTGATTTGAAAAAAAAATCCTAATGTTTCAGTTAAATAATAAATACTATTAGCAACTTAATACATATTAACAAAAATTAAGGTAACTATTACAGACAGTATTACTTTACAAAATAAGTAGTAGCAGACAGTTAAAAGTTAGAAGGTAATAAATATTCCAATAGTGTAAAAGGAAAAAAAATGACTACAGGTGGTATTACTTGGTCGTGTAAGTAATAGCAGAAAAAGCTTGATATAATATTCTGGCCTGACAGTAAATATTCCAATGGTGTAAAAGGAAAAAATTGACTACAGGCAGTATTACTTGGTCGTGTAAGTAATAACAGAAGAGTAAAAGTCAGATACTAATTTTTACTATTTTGGCCTGACATTACCTTCTAACTTTTAACTGTTTGCTACTGCTTATTTTGTAAAGCAATACTGTCTGTAATAGTTACCTTAATTTTCCAGAATTTCAGCTTCTTTTTTTGTTTGACAGGAACGTATAACGGAACCATTCTTTCCCATCTTTAATTGTTTTCAACTTTTAAGTCAGTTAGGTTAATATTTGTTCCTAAATCTTTGTTTCCACTATGTGGTATTTTCGGTTTAATACTAATTTTTGGAGGGTTAGGTTTTCGTTCATTGTCTTCTTTTTGTAACTTCACCATATCAGCATAAGAAATGGTAGGTACAATATTTATCTCTTTTTCTTCAAATTCTTTAATTTTTTTTTGAAGCATTTTTATTATTTTATCTTTACTTCTTATTATTTCATCCTTATCTTCATTAGTCTTCTTTAGAAAATCAGTCAGTTCATAATTCCTACATTTTGCACAATGAAATTTCAGAATTTTAATGCGTAGTGGTATACACCTAATTTCTGTGGTGGATAATTCAGAATATTGGTTGCAGTATAATCTTCTGCATCCATTACATATAGAGCATGGATATTTTTGTTCTTTTGTAGGCTGATGAATAATCTCACACTGTGAGCATTTCATTGCCACTTTTCTTATTTTATGAACTAAATATTCTATTTGTATGATTGCTTAGTAGAAATTATTGGTGTTTATTTTATTTCACCTAAATTTTTTGTCATCTGATAAGGTTTGGTATTTTTTTGCGTTTTTTGTTTTCTTGGTAATTTTATTTTGGTGAAATTGCAGAGATAATGCTTTATTGTATGCAACTGTAACTCACCTAAACAGTTTATTTACTACACTATAGTACTATCACATTTTATTTAATTCACTAGTTGTTTTTTTTAACATTATATAGTTTATATCGGTAGAAATATAGATTTATTTGCGCAGTGAAACAAACACGTCTTCTCACCTTGAATGATTTGACTATTTACTATGTACCAATAGTAGTTTATCGTTACTTGTATTATTTATACAATGCTTTTTAACACGTTGACTGCCGGCACGTTTTTTATTGTAATTTACGTTCGGGTCGGAGGCTTATTCCATACGAGTTCAAAGTTTTCATTTTTGGGACTATGTTGCGCAAATAATTAATTTTTACGGAATACATTTTCAAATATTCTTCACTTTTACAATGAAAATTACAGAAAATCTCGGAAAATATCTGAAAATCTGGAAAAAATCTGTAAAAATCTGAAAAAACCTGAAAAAATCTGAAAAATCTGAAAAATCTGAAAAAATCTGAAAAAATCTGAAAAAATCTGAAAAAATCTAAAAAATCTGGGAAAAATCTGAAAATCTTGGAAAATCTTAAAACGTTTCGTAAAATCTCGTAATACCTCAGAAAATCTGGTAAAATCTCGTAAAATCTCGTAAAATCTCGTAAAATCTCGTAAAATCTCGTAAAATCTCGTAAAATCACGTAAAGTCTCGTAAACTCTCAGAGTCATATTGACCAAACCGGCCCTGTACGAAAGTTAGTGATTGTTCAAAAAAAAATTCTCAATCATATAGACCGCGACGGCCTGGAGGAGAGCCAATTTCTCGGTCATATTGACCGAGATGGCGGTTAACGTGTTAAAATATAACATTTGTTATTTTTTTAGGTAGCAGATTTTTGCCATCAAGAAGTAGAACCGATGTATAAAGAAAGCGATCACATTCATATCATCGCCGGTTGCGCGGCTCTACAAACGTGCGTCAAAGTTATCTACATGGATCGAGGTATCGGGAAAGCTTGCACTGAACACGACCTCCCTGAGGGCTCCGCACCGACAATTCATCTTTTATACCGTCCCGGACATTACGATATTTTGTATCAATAATATGTGTAGCATGGATTGTTTTTTATATAATAAAAATTATCGTTAAAAAAGATGGGAAGTTTATTTGTTGGTATATAGCTTGGAATTGATCCAAAAAAAAAATGTCTATACATAATTTTAGTTTGAAAATTTGATGTGGAATCCTCATTTGGTTTTAAAAATCTCAATTCGGGGGGAGTTCAAGGATCTAAAATAATCTAATTGATTAAAAATAATAAAAAAAATTGTCAATGTCTTCTTGATCTGCGCTCCGGTAAAAAATCCGGATGCACGAATTTCAAAGTTTTATCACTAGATTATTGAAGTAACTCACTTTTTATAATATTTTAATAAATAATAGATACGGAAAATTAATTTAATCTGACTTTTAACACATAATTTTCTGCAACGAAAATACGAATGAAAAAACTTCGAAAATACAAAAGTTTGAATGACCAATCTTCAAAATTAAAAAGATGAAGCAACCCGCGACGGATCCAGGCCGTACAGGTTAGGTAAATTGAGTTTTTGTTTAATTTTTCTCATTTTAATTTTATTGTTCTGCGAAGCAACTCATAATGACTCCAGGCCCTATAGGAATGGTGCATTAGTTGTTTTTTAATCAAAAAACTAAAAAATATATTTCTTTTAATACACAAGATGTCTCACTATAAAGTAACACATTTGAACAGTTTTCGCTTAACTTCATGCATTTACTTCGTTTTTTTTGACGTAGTTCCCTAAACTGCCGGAAAAAATGATGTCTTTTTAAGTTAAATTATCGGATTATTTTAAATAGAACACCCTATAGACCCTATATTTTTTCATACCATCTGAAAGTTCATTTCTTCCTCTTTTCAAAAATGTGTACATTGTGATTATTTATTAAAAGTTTACTGGATATAAATTAGTAGAAAAAATTAAGAGATCAAAAAAAATTTCGATTTTTTCCGATTTCTCGAGTGGCTGTATCTTTGGAAAAAATGGTCGTATGTGAATGAAAAAGAAAAAAAAAAGCAATTTGAAGCTTAAAGTGTCTAGTTTATGGATCTTGCGATAAAAAAAATTCCAACCAACAATTAGCACAAAATTCTGGTGAATATCATGGATAAAAAATTTTTGAATTTTTTTTTTAATTTTTAGTGTATGGACTTGAAAAAAAATTTCTCGACATAACCATTATATGCATTGGATAGGTGGTTCAGTTAGCTTCAATTTCTTTTTTCGATGGTCTCGAGATGACTCTTCCTTGCTGAGTTATCAGAAAATGAACGAAAATGCGTCATTTCCTTTTCTCTCGTCAATATCTCGGGAACCAATGGCTGCTCAGAAAATGGAAAGGGGGTTTCGGAAACTTCGATTCATTCTCTACAAGGTTCTCGCATGTTCTTTCAAGAGAATTTTTTTTTTCATCCCTACCATGACTGAAGAATTTCGGAAAACAGGCCTTTTTGAGGTTTTTTAGAAAATCACGTGCCACATTGAAAATATTCGGAAAATGAATAATGTTAAGTGTGCATCTTACAGGCCATTGTTCCACCGAAAGCGCTACAAAATTTCAACCTGATCCATTGTTTCATGCGAGTGAATTTTTGAAGAAATTGAAGGATCGCGTTTTTCTATCCATGATATTCATCAGGATTTTGTGGTAATTGTTGGTTGGAAACTTTTTTTATCGCAAGATTTATAAACTAGATACTTCAAGCTTCAAATTGCTTTTTTTTTCATTCACGTACGACCATTTTTAACAAAGATACAGCCACTCGAAAAATCGCAAAAACTCGAAAAAAAAAATTAAAAAATTCAATGTCTTCTTGATCTGCGCTCCGGTGAAGAATCCGGATGCACGAATTTCAAAGTTTTATCACTAGATTATTGAAGTAACTTACTTTTTATAATATTTTAACAAAAATTAGATACGAAAAAATAATTTATAATATTAAAATGCCACTATTTTCACTGTTTAACCTTACTTTTAACACATAATTTTCTGCAATGAAAATACGAATGAAAAAACTTCTAAAATACAAAAGTTTGAAGTTGAAACAACCCGAGATGGATGCAGGCCGTACAGGTTAGGTAAATTAGTTAAGTTAATTAATTTTTCTCATTTTATGTTTAATTTTATTGTTCTGCAAAGCCACTCCTAATAACTCCAGGCCCCACAGGAATGGTAAATTAGAAAACTAAAAAAAATATATTTTTTAATACAAATTTGAACAGCTTATAAGTCAAGAATGGAAAAATATATTGACGTGTAGTTTTCGCTTAACTTCTTACATTTACTTCAAGGTTTTATTGACATAGTTGCCAAATGTATATTGCTTCCTGAACTGCCATTTTTAAAGCTAAATTATCGGATTATTTTAAGGGTTCATGACTGGGCACGTCCCAATAAAGGGACACTTGAACAAAATTGGCATATACCTACAATGGGGAACTCATGTGCCGACTATGTCACAAGAAACCAGAAATAACCAAACACACTGTACGAATGCGAAGCTCTAGATCGCAAAAGACAGGCACTTTTTGGACAACCCTAGGTTGATCCAATACTCATCCAACGATCTATACAAATTTGTACAAGGTACACAGCTAACAGAGTGGGTGCTGTGAACTTACATGGGATAAAACACAAGCCAATAGGTTTCAGGTTTCATTGTTATCCGGAGACATAGTCAGACGAGCCCAGGAGAAAAAAAAGATACAAAATATATTTAACAGCAACTTTAAGAAGTTTAGTGAAAACTACATGTCGATATCTTTTTCCGTTCTTGAGTTTTAAGCTGCTAAAATGTGTTACTTTATAGTGGGACACCCTGTATTTTACATTTTTTTTATATATATAATAATTCTTCATTTTGTCCGAACACCAATTAGATTAATCCCAGACAACACACCGAATCCCAAAGATATCCACAGAATATCTTTTGTGGATATCCAATATATCCACAGGATATCAGAAATATTCCGTGGATCTAATATGGATATCCAAATGTCCGTCTATATCCAGAATATAGAAGATATCCTATGGATATTCAGCAAAATATCTAATTAGTATCTTCCAGACAATACAAGAAATCCCAGAGATATCCACAGAATATATTTTGTGGATATCCAATATGGATATCCAACCAAATGTCCGTCTATATCCCAGGATATAAAATTCAGATATTCAGCAAAATATTTTATAGGTATCTTTAGTAGATATTCATAAGTAACCAAATGATTATTGAATAACGTCAAAAGAAAATAGAGATAAAAAAATGTCCAACAATCTGCCTTTGAGTTTGCCCACTAAGGAAAAAGTCATCCTTATTAGGACTCTTCAGCAATAAATGGAAATTCTCGACTCCAATCTCTAATAGAGTGTGATTGCCAAAAAAATTCGATCGAACTCATTTACGGCGGGTTGAGCATGAGTAGATACGAAAGTGGTATCGCCATCTATACTTAGGAAGCAAAATCAAAAATTACATCTAGTAGATATCCACGATGGTTTGCGTCCGCGCTAAGACTTTGATATATATGGATGTCCATGGGATATTGAATACACCTTAAAAAAATTAATTTTAAATATCTGAACGGTACTATTAGCCACAATGGCGAGCACAATGGCGTAATTTTTTAATAATTTGCTATATAATTACTATTATTTATGGACATTTGCATGTCTATAAATTACATTTTATGGATATAAAATAGATATCCACCATGGACTGGACATTCAGTGGATATTGGGATGTTCAGTAGATATCCAAAGGATTTGGTGTGCTGTCTGGGATTAGTGTCATCAGATTTCTTTGATATTTATAATTTAATTTAAAATGTGGCAACGTTGTTGTTTTCAATATAACCTAAAAAATCTATTTTTGATTAAAATTTTCTCGAAAAATAATGGTTTTTCCGCATGTTTTTCTTCTTTAATTTACTTAAGAAACTAGTTACTTTTTAATGTTTAATTTTTCTGCGAAACTTCTACATCTTGATTCTTCACCGGACCGTTGTATATCTTTGTTGAAGTTCGTTTAGAAACCTCTCACGACGCGTTTGGTCCAGGGTTGCCAAATAAATATGGACGTAAGTCGCAGAGCTCAATAGTTGATATAGCCCAAAATCACAGTTCAAGCTAACTTTAAAATTAGGAACACTTGTCTAATGTTTATATATCTTTTATTTAAATCATTTTTTTAACAATATTAAATATCTACTTGAATCATTAAATCGAAGGGTTGGATGAGCAACAGTATGACCACTTAAGTCCAAGTCAATGTGTTATCAATGACAAGTGACGGCGACTTTTTTATTACAAAAAATACAGCTCTGAACTATAATATGAAAATAGCCCCATCTGCGAATTGATCGCAAAATTGTATTAAAAGTAACCCAATCTGCGATAAATCGCCCAATCTGACTACCCTGGTTTGGTCTTATTATAAGTATATCGTTCAGACGCGACGTGCGAGGTTTCTAAAAGAGTTTGTTATGGGGAGGGGGAGATGTGACGTAGTGGAACGCATCACGCATAAACGAACACATCCTGTCAACAGTTATGTCATTTCAAGTGTCACTTGTCATCGAGTACTTTGTAAAACGTATGTTATTACATCTGATTTGTATTAAATAAATAAATAAAATAATTTAAACATAGTTATTTATTACTATAAACAACGTTACACTGAGTTTGTCCTGCCTCTACCTGTCTCTGTTCCTTTCCTATGTATTGTTTTCAATCTACTACTCTCTGAGTCTCTGCTCATTATATAAACATGTTCTGTAAATAATTAAATGATTAAATCATAAATAATTACCGACACAAGTACTAACACATTTTTTATCTCTTTGAAGAGTAAGCTTATATCAAAACTTACTGCATTTATTTTATTTTAGTATTATCGTAGAAAAAATATTGTGTGTAATTCGAGCAGAAAGTCCTTTAACAGTCCTTATTTCTGTCCCAACTGTGAAAGTGCTACTTTCTACTCTTAAAATACACAAATAACTATTTTGTTACAATAATTTTATAAACTTTTACTTAGCTACTAGCTATATATATTGATAAAGTGTTTTTGCCTTTATC